CAATGAGCCAATCGGAAAACGTTGAAAAAAAAATGGTAAAAAGATATTTCATAATTCGCACAGCCCATAATTTATAATATCAATAAAATGGAGGAAAATCGCGGACTAAAAATAATAACCAAGTATAAAACAAACGCCATGAAAATTGTATGCAAATATTGGGGAAATTCAAATAAAATTGCATCCATTTATGTACATGTGTCTTATGTGTGTATATATACATAAATGGATGCAGGAAAAAATGCCAAACATTGAATTTTTAATTGCTGGAAATTTGTGTTCTTTAGTTTTTATGGTTTTATCGCTAAACTCTGTATGTCTGTTTGTAAATTTGAGTTTATTTATTTTGAGCCTTTTTATTGTACATAGTTTCTCCGTTCACCACTCCAATGATTCATTTAAATTATGAACTGCTTTTCACTCGATTTTCTGTTTTCGCTTTTACCTTTTTTCTTTTCATGAAAAATGTATATTTATTTGTTATTTTCATGATAATAACTAAATATTTCACGGTAAGCGTACCATGAACATAAACTAAAGTAATTTAATATACACTTTCGCATGAATTTTTTCGTAAGTGAATGGAGCTGTTGAAAGTTATGTAAAAATTATTTCATATTATCCACTTTTCGTATCTAGCCAAAAATGGTGAGTTTTAATCATTTCAGCCCTTAAAAAATAAATATCTATAAATACTCTCAAAATAAAATCTAAATTCTATAAGCAATGGGTGATTCAAACCGTCTTATCAACTTTTAAATTTTTTTCATAATATGATATCCATTCTACGAATTTATTTTAGTATGGTTGAATATGGTTTTACTAATAACATTTTAAACATAATTAAAAATTCAATACTAACAAGTGATTTGATTCATTTTTTTCTAAACAATCATTAAAAGTACATTTAAAGTTTGACTTTCTCGTATTACAAAATGACCAAAGTCGAATGCTTATGCTAAAATATAAAAATAATGAAAATGTTCGATAATATTATGAGGTAGGCCTTTAAGCTGTTTGTATTTAAAAAGCAGTGAAATATGCCATAAAGTCAGAAACAATGAATATTATTAAATAATTTTCACGAGGCTTATAATTATACGGAAGCACACTGATATAATTCAATAGGTTTATTAAAAAGTATGCCACAAAAAGATCTATAGCCTCTTTTGCTATTTACTTTTTTTCGCAATTAACTTTATACACGCGAGTGGCCATTGATAAAAGAGAAAATGGGAGGGAAAAGCTCCCTTCATACAAACAACTTTAATAATAATTTAATTAATAAATTAATTATGTATTCAGGGTTTTATTGTGCAAGTGATTTTAGATTAAGTGGAAATTTTAATTGCGATTTTATTGTCCTTTTAACAAATTCCATATTGTAAGCGCAGAGAATTTGTATGCAGAAAAAGAATTTAATAAGGTATGCGTATACATAAAATGTACATATATTATAGTCAGACTATTGACTCGAAGCTTAAGAGTTAATGATCCTACTTCACTTTGTTTTGTTCATGGTTTTCTATAAATTTTCGATTTAAATTATCTCATAAAAAACAACTAGAAAATCTTTGTGTTTGTTACGATTGCCGTTTTTATATAATAACGATAACAACTCAATTTTTTTACAAAAATCAACGTTTGTCCTATGTTAGGAAACAGCAATAATTCAACTTTTCTCTTTTCAATTTAATTAAGCGAAATCCATTTGTCCCTGCCAGCCCCTTATTTTTTCCAAATCTGAGCTAGGTGTGGTCAAGATAGCAGCTCGACTCGAGTGTCAATGATACCGTCATTAAATCAATCATTTTGGCCAGCCAGCCACTTGCGGTCTTAATTTGGTCAACACGCTAGACGACGAATATTTTTTTTTTTTTTACCTCTACGTCGCTGTTTGCTTTGCTCTGTCCTTTTATTTATTAGTGTTTGTTTTGCTTTCTTGTTTACCTAAAATTCTTCTACTTGTTGTTACCCACATTTTATTTTAGCCTGGGTGACAAGGAATAATTATTATAATCAAATAAATGATGTAGGCACAAGGACGAAATGGCTTTTCTCAGTTCGCGTGCTTTGGTAAATAACAATCTTTTTTTATATCTTTGGTATCGCTGAGATATTGATTGTTGTTATAATTTATTGCAATAACTCAATGTACGTGAGGTTAAAAAATTTTTTTAATCAAACAATTTTGTTATAAAACCCCACTCTTTTTCCTTGAAAAGTAAATAAATAAGTTTCTAGGATAATTGGTAAACTGGGATAAAAACAAAACAGAATGGAGAGAGATTTAAATAACATTTTACCTCGTGTATCTTGATTAGTAAAAAACGCCCACAGGGCAGTTCTGGAAAAACGAAACGAATTTATTTTTTTCTTGTTTGTCCCTTACTGGATTCGAGGTTATAAATTCTGGTAAAACTAACTATAACTGCACTGTGTATTAGTCAGATAACAGTCGCAAGAAGATACAGAAACACCACTAGATATAGAAACAAATGCATAGATAGCAAGCGACCCAGACTTAGGCCGTAAAATAATTCATGAATTTATTGAAATTTATTAGCATAAGCATGAGGACCGTTGTTGGTTGGTATTGTGATTGTGGAATATCTACAGAAGTATCTCTTGGATGCGAAGTTTTATTTTTTCTGTTATTGCCAACTTGCAGTCTGGCCGAGATGAAATCGTAGAAATTGAATTGAATTGGTTCAGGGCGGGGGGCAAATGGCAAACGATATGCGTATCAATGGATAACAAAAAAAAGGGAAAAATGTATCGGCAGTCGACAACAAAAAGCAGAGCATCGGCAGACAACTTATACAAATAGCCAACTTGGCAAAAAGGAAAAAAAAGCCAACAGCTAGCAAAACACCCAACTAAGAACCAGTTAGATATTCAAGAAGAATAGAAAACCAAGTGTAGTTCAGTGGTAATTTTTTCCCGACACCATTTTTCTAGCCAAATTTATATTTTGAAATGTTTCAACTATTACCTTTTATTATAAAGAACTCGTATTTGTTTTGTTTAATACTTTCAATATTTATAAATAAATTTCAATCAATTTTTATATAATCATTTTAGCAAAACAAATATATTTCCATTTGATTCTATTTTGTGACAAACCAATAATAATGAATGAGTTAGAACACAAAATTGATTTCATTTTTATGTTTCCTTTTTCTAACTGCAATAAATTTCACTGTTTTCAGCTTTTTTGTTGGCCAACACAATTTGAATTTTCTTGTTAATCTATCTATATGTTTGCCTGTTCATCCAATTTCTTGGGTAGCGATAACTTACTGCACGACTTTGGCTTTTCTAGTTTTTAGTTGGTGGGGAGCTGTGGATTTCCACCACCTACTGGGCTCAGCACCCGCACATTTAACTGAAATGTAACTTTTCCTTTGGAGGCGCTTACACTGTCGTTGTTGTTGTTGTTGCGCTTTTCCTTTGGTCTTTCTTTCTATATTTGTGTATCTTAAACGCGTTTCGTTGTATCTACTTAAGGCAGCTTAAATATTTGTGTAACATAATACAAAACATACGGGCTTCTTTGGTTATACTTAGATACATAGCTTAGATACAAGGCTAGGAAAATGTGAAATGGCTTGAGTTCGGAGAAGGAGGTTAAACGGCAAATGTCCGGAGTCAGCTAAACCGCAGACTAAGCCAACTAACTATTGCACATTGGTAGTGAAAAAAAAATCTTTACAACAAAGTACAGGTAATTAATTATTATTTAACTATATTTGAAAAATAAAATATCTGAACTAAAGATTTTAACGGAGAAACTTATCTTGTATCAATCACAAACGCTTTCGTTATATATTTCCATAAGACAGGGAATCGAATTACCATAAGAACTTTACAAGACATTTCCAGAAACGAATACCTTAAAAAGGAAAACTCTGGGGAAAAACTCGAGAAACAAAATCCCATCATGTTAATCACAGCGGATTAGCGTGGATGGCTCTCGGTTAAATGCCTGAATATGCAAGCTATTAAAAGATTAAGGCTATCAAAAACGATGACGACGAACATTTTCCCAATCGAAAACGTATCACACAGCGAGAAGAGAAAGAAGGAAAAGATAGGAAAAGAACAGATTACAACTGTGAAATCGGTTAAGTAATTCAGACATAAAGACGAGTAATGGAGAACTGAATCTGATTTACACCATGTATACATTCTTTTATATTTCCATGTCAGAAAATAGGCGCCTCAATGAATTCCATCTTTCAGTTCATTCTTACATTGCAAAATAAGATGAAACTAAAATTCCATAATATAGTCCTATTTATATTTATAACAGAATGAAAGAATACCACAAAAAACAAGATACCAATTAAATTTCGACGTATTTGAATTGAAACAAAAATCCATGGTCGGCAGATAAATATTTACCACATTTTCATCAGCACTTTCATTATCTCTATTCTGCGGTGCCTCTTTCTGTGGTCTCTACTGTAGCCGTATCTTAAGTGTTCGGTTGTCTTTTGTTTTCCCGACTGTCCAATCATCTGTTCCACTGTGCGGGTATCAGAGTGCTTTGTTTACATTTCAAATGGAAATTGCTCTGTTTTGTATCTGTGTCTGAGCTCCGATATCTCCTGCTGTGTGAGCCAGGATATCTGTCTGCAATGCACTTTTACCATTTTCGGTCCGTCCTCCTAATGAGTCCTGCTCTATAGCCGTTCCTTTCGCTCTGATGCAGTCGTGTGTGGCGTACGCAAATATCGGAACGACTTCACTTTACCCCTCCCAAGATCTACTCTTCTAAATCCTCGAACGTGGCAAAAGGACACTACGTGGGCTAAATTTAGATTGACGAAACGACCGATGTTCAATACATAGGAATTTAGAGTTTACCATATTATAGTCTTTTATTTTTCCGAAATTTTTGGTTGAATGCAACCTAATATATATTTTCTAATTTTGACTATTAGTTTTGACCATATAGTTCCATATAATCTTTATCATAGCTCTTATTGACTCACCTTTTTAAATAGTTCCCGATAAGTTGAAGTTTACGAACAGGATTTTTTTAAACGACTGAAACCCAGGATCAGAAATACTTTGAAGATTGAGAAGATTGGTAGTCCCAGCAGTTCCTGTTTTATCGGAAAAGTGCTGACGTTGATTGATTGATTTCTTTGTTGTTGCTGTTTCAATAGCGTTGTTATCAATTTGCACACACAGACAGGAGATTTTTTTGATTCGCACCGATCGCTTGTCGTACTTAAACAAATTATAGACACTTACACGAGACAACACCGAAGAACACAAATTTTTTATATTTACTTTATACGCAGATTAATGCCAGCGGACGATGAATAATAGGATAACAGCAAGAACAACAACAACGATGCACGACGACGACGACAAATATTGTACATATGTACAGAGATATAAAGGATATCACGCACACACAGACAGATACACGCGCACGATAACGGTTAGTCGGATATATAAACGGATGGAGGGGGTCGGGGCGGTGCTGGAGTCGAATTAACGCGGCGGCGATTATAGCAATCCGAATTAACGGTACCGGCTTTTTATGCGATAATAAGTATGCTATGGATGCGTTTTCTGAGCATATTTTCCTTGGTTTTTTCCTTACTTTTTTTCGTATTCACTTTGTTTCTGGCTTAAACACTGTGGAAAAGGGAAAGACACTGAATTAGATCTTAGTTTCTATATTAAAAGTCATAGCCGCAGAAAAAAATGGTCTTTGAAATAATGTTTTTAAGTTCTTTTTTATCTGTTTAATGATTCATTGTGAATATTTTAAAAGTCCATTTGGCTCATTACAATTTCAGATTTATCTTTTTTTAATTTTCAGTTCGGGATATTTTACAAGCTCGCTCTTTTAGATAAAAAAAACTTTCAAAAGTGTCATCCTGCGAGGATTTACTGAGATTGTTAATTAATGCTTTTTTTGCTTATTAATTTCTTATTATGACAACAGTACTTTAGTTTTTTTTCGGTTGGCAACGCGCAGCGGACAAAGGACAACGACTGCAGAGAGATGCGAATGGGGGAGCATAGGCAGAACCGAAAAACATTATGCGGGGGGTGTGTGAGTGGGGGGAGGGTGGGAGCAAAAGTGCCAGAGAGCAGCTGCTCGGTCGCTCTCTCTGAGTCGGTGTGTGGCCAATTTGAAACGCCGCGAGAATGAAATGCAGCGAAACGAATGGTGAGCACAAAACGTGGCCAGGAAAATAGAGAAATAAACAAAATATAAAAAAGGATAATCCAGCCAGGGAGGGTGGGTGAGAGCGAGAGAGAGAGAGCGCAAAAGGACCGTTCCACTTCCAAAACGTACACAAAACAGAAGGCGCGCCAGGCGAAAAATCAATGAAAAATATGTGGAAAAATTGCCGAAATTGTAGGTTTTTGGGGATTAGCTTTGCTGCGACTTTAACTTTTTTGAAACACAGTTTTTTCAATTTGCATATTCCTATTTTCCTCATTATTCCATATTTGTTGTGATTGCAAATTGCAATTGGCCAATTTTTCGGCTTTATTATTGTTAAGCACACGCGCTCACACCCGCACTCAAATGCACATGTTTCTAAATTGAACAATTACCCATTTATTAATTAATGTACACAATGGACCAATAACTTTTCAAAGTTGCGGGACAAATACCTTTCGGTGTGGGAATTTGTTTATCAGCGCGAAAGATTTATTTGTATATCTTATTTTCCGGATCACCAAAAAATATATGAAAATATCTTGGAAAATGATATTTTTACAAGAAACCAAATATCGTTTTTTGATATTTTTCCCGGCGTTATATCCAATATTGTTGTTTTTATTCTGATATTTTGAGATATTTTCCAACCGGTGAGCAACGCGCTGCGGCAGCGCGGGCGTTAAATTTTCAACTGAAAATGTTCGAAAAGAGAGTTCACGGATGGCACTTTCTCTGGCGCACTTTCTTATCGGGTCCGTCAGTCCGTTATTAGTACTTACAGTGAGTGCGAGTGCAAGGGTGTTTTCCAATAAGTTGGAAAGAAAGAGCAATAGAAGTTTTTGGGTAACCCTTAAGCGGTGTATAGGGTTTAAAATGGCCTGTCATATTAATGTTACTGAAAGAGCATTAACAGACAACACGTGAACATGACGGATTTGGCATTCTTTTTCGTTTTTTGGAGCCGCTTTCGCAAAGCTTCCTTGCGATTCTTTACAGTAAAACCTAGCAGGGCAACGTTTTGTCAATCAGTTAAAAACAGATGGTAAATTTCCTCAGCAAACCTGAGAGAGCCTCCCGAAAGTTAACGGACTGGAACCGAACAATATGGCGTTAGTACCTTTTTCTGGCGTTAGTGTGTTTTCCCTTGGATTTCATTCGCTCTCTCCGCTCTTCTTATTAAAGGCCGAATTTTAAGAGTTGTGAAAATTCAACACGCTCTTTATTACTCTTTTTCAAATCATAATTTTTTTTAGTTCTTGGGCTTGAACACGATTTAGATCAAATCTATTGGTGGCAGCATTAATAAGCAAATTATTCACGAATATTATTAAAGCATTATAATTTCAGTTTAAAAAAATCCTTACAAAATATATTATCCCAAAGATTAGTTATAACAGTTTCTTTTTTTAATTAAATGCTGACCCAAAAAACATTTAAATGGTACCGGCTTAAAATATGTACCAAATGAGAACTTGGCAACTCTACGTTTTTTGCTCTCTTGGCTCTCTTACAATCGCGCTCTCTGTTTTTACCGGCAGTTATTATTGTTATTAATATTGCGTCGTTCACGCCAATAACAGTTTTTGATGATCTATGCGCGATTAATAAATGTTTGGTGTACTTCACAGAACATTTGCTTGTTTTTTTTCTTTAAGGTACACAGCAAAAAAACCAACCAGAATGTTTTGTTGTACAAACACACAAATAAGACTGAAAACTAGCGTTGCCAATCAGAATTTTAACAACCCGCGTTACCAGACAGTACCAAAAATTGCGCGATAGCGAAAGCCTCGAGTTTAAGATACCCAGTGCACCATAGTAAAAGCAACTATACAATTTATTTCTTTGAAACTGCGCAATTATTGATCAAAATACCAAAGTCATAGTACCTAAAACAATGGAAATCATAACTCAAATACTTGTTCTTAATGTAGAAATTGTTTATGATACAACACAAACTAACATTGATTGTATAAATATTAGGCAGAAAACACTTCACCAAAAAGGTTAAATTTTACCTTAATAACAATACAATTTTCTGTTAGTTGCGGTTTACCAAAGAAAATAAAAAAAAAAAACCCCAAAAAGTCTTCGACATCTTTCCCTGACGTGGAATTGAACCCCAATCTACCGCCATATTCATAGAAAGCATTGTTTCTATTACTCATCGTTCATTGTATGGCGGAACGTACGAAAACGAAACATTGTTTGCTATACGAGTTTTTCCCAATTCAAATAACATCCTCGATAGTATAGTGGTTAGTATCCCCGCCTGTCACGCGGGAGACCGGGGTTCAATTCCCCGTCGGGGAGAGATGTAGATTAATTTTTTTATAATTTCTATTTTTTGTTTTCAGAAAGATTACTTTTATAAACATTTATTTGCTAAACTTTATCATTTAGCAAACTAAAATTCGAATGTTTGTTTCTGCTTTAAATAAGGGTGCAACAAATGTTGGAGTAAAATAACATATATTTCGTAATATCAATCATAAACGCAAAATGAAGTACATCCGAATACTGAGTGAGTGGGTGGACAGGGTCTTCCCTTAAAAGCTAATACAGAAATCGTTTAAGCAGGTACTACAGGCTAAGACTTTTACAGTACATAAACAGTTTAAAAATGGACAAAATGGGTAACAACTATGAAAGTTTAAAGGGCAACTAGTCCACCTGCTTGCCCTCGTCACGATTGCGTTTGAAGGATACTGAATGGATGAGCAGAGGCGGTAGGTTACCGCGCAGCCTCTGCAGTCGCTTGTTCTTCTCCTTTTCGGGACGTCGCAGCTCGTCCTTGGATGATCCTGGCGAGGCAGACGAAGAAGCGATGGACGGTGACATGGATCCCAATGAAGTGGCACCCGGCAGGACCTCCGAACTCTGGCTCATCAGCATGGCCGAACGACGGAAGTACCGCGGCATCGAGTAATCATATTGGGTGGCCCGAGCTGCATTTGCCGTCTGAATGGAATAGAGACTCTGCGATACCCTGTACTTTTCAATGGTGGGCGTATCCTCGTAGTTCTTCGGCAGATTGCTATACGATATCGAGGGCACCTCGGGTGTCATGCTGATCTGGCTGCTTCCGGTAATCGTACCGCTGATGGAGAATATATCCGTTTCGCTGGCCGACGATCGTACGTTCATGTGCGGAACACTTTTGGCGGATCGCAGGATTCGTTTTGGCGTGGTGGCCAGACCACTGGGATTGGCCAACAGATGGGGATGACGGTCGATGAGGCGAGGTCGCAGTACCACCTCCTCCATCGCCTCCTCCTTCTCTTCGACCTTCTCGTCCTCCTTCTCCTCCTCGGCGATTGCCTCGAACTTCTTGGGAGTGAGGGTCGATTGGCTTCCCGAGGGCGAACATTCGGCGGAACTGGGTGCCAAAGTGAACGTAATACGCTTCTCCGGAGATCCCAATCTCGAGTCAGTAGCATCACCTGGAAAGAAATTAAAAATATTCTTGAGAAGAGTTCAGCATTCAAAGTTTTTGATTTCATAAAATATCTGTAGTTCTTTTCCTCAAATATACGTTTTGATTTCTATCCTCGATTTTTATAATCTCAAATTAAAGAAAAGAATTACGCCAATAATGTAATTTTTTCGCCAAGTTTTGATATGAATTTAATCAATTTTTTTAGGGGTAATACTACAATTTTCCCTGAAAGAGTTGGACGAGCAGATGACAAGTAAGTCGCATAAAAGGTGGACAAACAAGATAAGGTTTGAGTTCATGACAGATAGGTAAGATATGGACAGATAATAAGTTGCCTCGGAAACTTTTTAGTCGGTATCCTCTATTAAACAACATTACTTAAAGTAACTACTTCTCTGTATGAATTTTTCTTTTGAGGAATTTGAATATGGAATCTCTTACATAAGATTTCAATTCGTATTTCACAATACATTTATTAGCCAATTCAATTAGTCAGATACATTCAAGCATCAAACGATTAAAACCGCACGTTTTTCTTATCAGTAAAGCAAATATTGTATTCGTTCCGATGCCGTCAATATTTACAAATAGAAGATTACTGTATATCTTATATGCATAAGTGCAATTTGTAATAACAATAAAAGATTATTGTACACTTATCTTATATGCACTATATATAGAAAATAAGGAGTTATTGTATATCTTATATAGATGAGTGCAATGCGCTTCGAAAACATCCATGAAATATAAACTTAGTGATTTGGCCTTGTTTGTTTATGTAAGATACTTTTAAAATTATATAAACTTATACTAAATGTAAGTGAATATGTAAACTAATTTATTTGTAACTATTCTGTTCTCACTCTTATAACCATGTCACATTTATAAGGCAAAGTAAAACCATTAAATAATTTTGAAACCAACCGTTTCCTTGCAAGTTGGGGAGCACGTAGGATTGAAAGTGATTTTGATATCGTCAAGCCCACCGACGACGAACGTCAGGTTTATTACATACTGACGAAACTATATGACGGAGGTGGGGAAATACCCAGCAACAAGCTGGCTATAATTATTGCTCTCAGTGCAGGAACACTCAACTTTCGGATCGGAAAGTCATTTAACATCAGCCAAAAAACGTGATGACTACCTGTACGTTGTTAAGATATCGTATATACGTATAGCAATATAATACAAGAGTAAATAAAAAATAATAATCCAGGAAACAAAACCGTAAGAAACTCTGACGACAAAAGACCTACTATTCTCGGAAATCTGGGGTATTTATTGTTTATTATTCAGTTTTAAATTAATTGTTTTTTAGGTTTTGTTATATTTTAAAATGACACTTGATAATCCAAGCAAGAATTTATACTCGATTTGTTTTGAAGTGATACGAATCAACACCTGTTGTGTAAATCTACTGAAATATCTGGAACGCAGAAAATTTAAAAAGAATTAAAATATTAAGAGTATAACCGTTCTTCGAATTGCTGTATCTCCTATATATATTGTATAAAATTCTATAAAAAGATATGTCAACCTCCAGTGTTCTACAAACTTGACGGTTTCTTTGCAGCTTTTGTTTTATCAGCTCAGGAAAACCTGAGGAATTGATCGTTAGCATGCAAAAACTGATTACCAGCTCTATTCTCTTATCTATACGAAAAAAAATACACATATACGTGGATTTTGGACAACTGGGAGCCGCAGAAAATGGGTAAAAATATTCATATTGACTGGGTGTTTATTTGCTGTTAACATTTTCATACAGTGTCGATAAGGAAATCTAAATTTGACTAATTGGCTTCGTTTCGTTCAGCTGATGGAATGGGATAGGTGGCACAGTAATTAAGTAAATGGCGAAAATTACGATAAATCAGTGCCAAGCCCAATAGACCATTAAATCATCTCCGATGGAGTTCGGTTTTATCTCCTCCCAGATGTGATAACATTGTGTGACGTACAACCCAAAGGTGTTCCTTAATTCCAGGTGGAACCGGTCCCTTTGGAAATCAGCAACGTCAATACAAAATAATGTTGTTAATTAAATTTAGCTTCAGATCCAGATTTGTTCTTTAGCCGCTCTTCCTCGTTGGATGTTTAAATGAATTAATTTTTTTAAAGGGGCTAATGGAGAATGAGTCAGGCTTGCGGAAAAGTTTTATTGCAGAATTATCATAATTGCTTGACCAAATATAAAATTAGCAAATTATTCGGTCTTAAAAACCTGTTTAGATCCCTGGTTTAATTTTGATGTCAGATCGTCAGCCTTTCCATAAAATATCACTGATTAAAAGTGGAGCAATCTTTAAAATTAAATCTCATTCTTTGTTTCATCGCTTTTTTGTTGTTAAACCCATGTCTTTACTCTTTTAATTAAAGCTTTTGTCTCCAATTCTGCGAATTCAGTCGTCATTAGTGAAATCTTTCGAAAGGCGTTAACATGTGTAAACTTTTTACTAACTGATCGCAGTCTAAGGCAATTATTCAAAGCTGTTGAGTAATGCCAACTTGACAAACAAAGCAATCGTTCAAAGTACAGAAATTACTTTGCTAAAAGGCTGGTTAAAATGAGTCAAGCAAAATGAAATTAAGGCTTTTAAATGAGTATTTTGAAAGGAATATCGGGCGTTCCTGTATAATATTAATTACTGTAGAATGCATCTGAAAATATAGTAAAGATTAGTAAGCTTTCATCACTAAAGTGAAACCCAGGCGAATTGTTTTTAAAAAACTTTATGAAAATCATACTGTTTACTAGTTCTTATATAGGACTTAACATTTACAAGGTCCAACAATTAAGACTTAAGTAGAATATGTTTAAGTTAACTTAAGTTAGACTATTTAAAGGTCTAGATAATACTAAGCACCAGTGACACTGGCATTGCTGTCTCTCTCGAATGTTGTATATGGTTGTGTTCGTTGCGATATCGGCAACACTTACAGCTAATTATTTAATAATATTAAGTCACATTTTGGCGATATTGGTCACTCTCTGTTTGTCTTTCCATATCTTGCGAAAGTTCCTCAATCTTTGGCACAAATACTGCTAGTACCCATTGAACCCAAACATAATAATAAGAAAAGCCCACGATCGAAGCTCAGTTCAGATAGAACTTGACCTTGGGCACACCACTGGAAACGATGCTGCTGCTGCGAGTGCTCTTGCCACTGCTTTTACCGTTACCCGCACCACCCAAAAGCGGGGTGTGCGCACCACTGGGGCCGTCATTACCTTCCAGACGTCGCAGCAATCTCTCCTGATCACTGAGACGCGGAGTTGTCGGCATTTCGCGATTCGGCGAATGGATCCCGGCCAAATAGGTCTTTGTGCTAATCCGATTCAGCTTGGTCGGCTGATGATCCTGGAAGATCTGCGAATTGGCAAACACCGCCAATATCTCCGGTCCCAAGTTGGGCACATTGATCTGCGTCTCCCGACGATAGTCCTCCTCGTGGATCTTGGCGCTAAAATGTCCACAAAGGAAGATATGTATTATTCGTGAATTTATAATGCCAACAGTAAGCCAACACGATCTTGCCAATTAATCGCTAATCGCCGCTAGCTTTCCAAACAAAGTGCGAAATGCGATCTTTGGCTCGTTGGCTCGGATCTTGGTTTGATCTATCTATTAGTACCTCATTAAACTCAGACCCAGGCTCGAGTTGCCCTGCCTCATTTGCGGCTGGTCGCAAATCGGTTGTGGCACCGTCAGCGAATTATTATTATCCGCCGTGGCTGGCTGTATGCGTCCAATGATCTGGCCATTTTTCCGGGACGCCAAGTAATCCTCGTCCTCCTCGGGATTGTAGTTTGCTAAAAGGTAAAAATGTGTATTATTTACCGTTCTTTTTAAATGTTGTTTTTCTAACCGTTTTGCATTGTTTGTGTTTTTCTACATTTATAATTTGTTTACATTTTCTGACGTTAGCTTGAATAAGTACATTGCTATTACTAACCCCTAATCTATTAATCTCTGTATAAGTCAAAAAGTTAGTTTTCTACTCTTACTTATTAAATTTTTTGTTAGTAACAGGCATCCATTTTCTTTCATAAGCCATTGTAATTATGATTTCCAGAATCTTCCAGTTGACAATTGTGAAATAAAATACTGGTAAGTTTTTTTTATAAATAGTATTTTTTTTTAAAAAAAAGGTTTTAGTCGCGAGAAATAATGTAAACAAACTCAACCTACAGAGTTTATAACAACCTTGTAGGACCCCCTTATACACAAACTGCTGAATATTTAAAAAAAAATCCATAAAACTGATTTATCTTTTTGTGTTTTGTTTTTTCCTTTTTTATACTCGTACTCGATTTCAAATGCCAAACACGTTAAGTCGCGCAAAAATCGCAGTCGCATTGTGCGTTCAAGATCTACTTTGGGATAGTTTTGTGTGTGTGTGTGTGCGTGCGTGAGAGTGAGCGGTCAAGTATCTGAGGTACTCATTTCAGGTAATCGTAACCGTCAACTGCCCAATTTAAAGCAGAAACAAAACTCCTTGGCTCGAACACTTACCGATCGATTCGTCGTAGCAAAAACGCTCCTCGAAGCAATTCCAGTAGAAATCTTCCCAACAGCTAACGGTCCACGTAAAAGGGGTAAGGAAAGGAAATGGAAAAAAAACGCAATTCGGAATGTGTTAGCCGAGTAATTTTGCTGGCCAAACAGCAAAGTTGGTAAGCGAGAGGGGAAAATAGCGTTTACTCACTTTTGACAGCAGCGGCACATTTTTTGTTGTTGGCTTCCTCTTCCTCTTGATTTCTTGACTTTTATTGCCTCCTCCGCCAAAAAAGAAGAGAATCCGAGTCCGAAATCGTTTGTGTTGTAACAATGCTTTGATTTCGCTTAATTTATGATTTCTGTCTGGGAAAAAAGTAAATTAAATTCGGATTTGGGCGACGGCTCGTTTTTGTTGTTTTCGTGAGGAACGTGCGTGTGACTCGTTCCAGAAATTTTGTTCAGTGGCGAGCGCGAGCGTGAAGCTTGACGTTTTATCGGCCAAGTGGCCCACAAATCGTATCTGCCGCTCTGATGGCCAGGCTCTCACTTCCAAGCGGCTCTCTCCCCTCTCTCGAAATTACACCGAGAAAAATCACTATACTTTTTTGAACACTTGGTTTGAACACTTCATAAAATTTTTAAAAAAAATTTTTTTTATAGGAAACGATTGCATAACCAAATGAATTTTTTATTGAACTATTTAATAATAAATAATTTAATACAACTTGTTCGGCCATTGGGTATTCGTTGAAATAAATGTAAACATTTTTTTAAGTGCAGTGTGTCTGATAAAAGTGAGTTGATATGAGAGAGAAATTCACTGGAGAGGGCTCTCTCCCACCCACTTTATTAACTCATCTCTCTAACATAGTATTTGGGGAAGGGGGGTGCTGGGCAGGTTGATCGATCGCGCATGATAGATTACTTTCAGAGAGCCACAAATTTGGCTACATTTCGTAACTCTCTCTCTGCTGCTCTTTCTCTCCCGATTAAACTCTCTTTTTCTCGCTCTCTTTTGCACTGTGGGTCAGGCGGCAAGACGCGTTTATAGGATGATCAGATTAAAATTGCGAATTTTTTAAAATAATTTATGATCTTCTGTTATCATCGTTCTTTTCTTCTTTATGATTGTTCCTTTGGCATCAGACACAGAATAAAATTAAAGCGTAGATTTCTTAGTTGGCGCGTAAATTGTTATTATTTAAATTTTATTTTATGGAGATTAGATTTAATTGGTTAGTTTTTTGCCTCCATTCATTACATTAAGGATTAATTTTTTTACTAAACGCCAAGGACTTGGGTCAATTTTGTATGACTTAGGCCACTTTTGTCCCACTGTAACCTGTTGCTGCATTGTGACACCTGCTCAAGCCTTTCAGTGCTCTTATTTGTGTGTGTGTGCGGGTGTGAGTGTTGGTGAAGTAATTGAAACTTTTTAAACTTGCACCGTGCACACACAGCGATAACCTCGCTACACATGTTCTCATGTTTGTCTGGCTGAGTTTACTTAACGCTTTGAACGATAAGCGCTTCTGCAAATTGAGGCCACATTCTCTCCACAGGTGAGTGGGCGTGAAGGGGGCTTGTGAAGGGTGGTGCTATGTGCGGATCAACCCAAGGTTGCCTAAGCATACTTTTAGGCTGACAGTAAATGTTCTTAAGTGCTTAACAATCTAATAAAAAAAAAACATTAAAAGTTTTTCCTGCGATCGATGTCAACAAATGACATACATATGTATTTGCTGTCAGCCTTTTCAGTTTTCTTATCAAAAGATTGCTAATTCAGTTCTGTAAAGCCTTATCAATAGATTGCTAATTCTGTTCTGTAATTTCTTATCAACAGGTTGCTAATTGATTTTGAATGAGTTGATAACGATGACTTCGCAAAAAGGTCAACAAACTGAATTTTTTGGAATTTGCAAAATGTTTTAATAAGCTTGACCGTTAAAGAAAAAAAATGTTACCTTCGAACTTTTTTTTGTAAATTAAGATAGTTATTTCTTATTCTTATATACCGGTCTTAAATAAACCGAACATTTCTTTAATCTAAAAAACCGACCGTTCTAGATCTTCTAATGGTCTTGGCTTACGAGTTTCTCAGACCATTTTTTCTTTTATCTATCAAGTTCATTCTAAGAACGTAATCTCTGAGTGCAGATAAGTTAATTCCTTGCGTTATTTCCATTTTTTCGGAGGTGTGAAGACCCAACGCAAAAGTTGTTAAAAGTAAATGTTTGCCCGTTGTAAAATAAAGTTAAGAATAAAGAATTGAAATTTGGCCATTTGCAAGCTCTTCCAGAGTTCAAAGACCATTGCGAATCATGTGAGACCCAGTAATCGATCAATTGATTGTCTTTTGATAAAGCCGTAGATATATTCATGGCATTCAAAGCTTTCGGCGACAGTTGAATTGAAAAGCGCTCAACACTCATTAAAGTACGTAAGATGGCGTGGAAAAGGGGTTGGAGGATGGGGCGATCGGTAATTGAATGTCAATCAGCTGCACTGAAATGAATAGCAGTCATTTTGCCGCTGCCTTTCCGTTGATACTGTTACTTTAAGCCATGTAATGCAATTTGCTGATGTTTACACGTTTTGTGCGTGAAACTCATTTCAAGTCGAGTCGTGTTATACAACAAAAATCGAGGGTGGGCTGAGAAATCAAGTAAACATATTCGATATTCGCTTTTTTAGACATGCAAGATATGTAACACATTGGCTTTTAACTTCTTCAACAAATCAATAGATTTAAACAAAAATATTTTATTTACTTTTTGCCAGGTCTTTCGCTATAAAGATTATTTCTTGCTTTTTAAAAAAATTTGCATAAGATTTAAACCTAAATTGTAATTAAATATTATCTTGACATAATTTTACATTACCTTGAAACAAGTCAAACAACTATTGCTGAAGCTAAATGAAAAAGTAATAATCATTTGTAGACAAAATATGGTTCAGCTTAGTCAGCTTCTCTGAAGCACATTGCTATTGCCTTTCCCTCGCCATTAATTAGGGCAAAAAATTAAAAGCACATTCAGTAAAAATCTTTTTAATTTATTGCATCTACAATTTTGATGGACTTTAAAAGCTTGCGATTAATATCTCGTTAAGCAAACATGCCAAATCATTCAGCGTTTTGTGGATTTCTTGTTTTTGTATTTCTGGCCTTTGAACTGAGCCCGAAATGGGTTTGGGTCGCTGACAATCAAAATCGCATGCCACAGGTAAAAATTCGCGGGCGAATAACTTCCGCGCAAAGTACGAAACAAAAACAGCGCCAAAATCGGGAACAATAACAATCGGATTACAATATATAATTTTACGAGTCACTCAAGCGATGCATGCAATGCAGTGAATTCTTTCATAAAAAGATTAAATTCAAAACGAAACGGAAATTCATATGAATAACACCTTTTCCACAAATCAAGTTCATATCTAAAATAAACTTTTATTATTTGTAGACAACTTATTAAAATAATCGTTTAATTTTAAAGCTGGTTCACGATTGAATCTTACATGAATCTTAATAGAGATTTATAGTTGCAAAACGCTATAGTACTATATGGATTTTACTTAATCAACTTTTTATTTTACTGGTAACCAACCCACCTCTCTTAAATCATATAAAACATTTTATGACAACAAAACGAGTTTGCGGCAGTAAAAAATATATATGTATGCATACACTTATACAATATAATAAACGACGAAATGAACATTATCTAGAATCTCTCACTGGAAAATCACCGAAAAGTTCAAAAGCGTAAAAAAAGTTGGGTTTTTTTTTGCATTGCAAGGGAGAAACGAGTATTGTATCAACTTGATCTATTATATTATTCATTATTCCATTTTTATCGTTAGCTTGCTAAGTAGAAATTCAAATTAAATTCCCACTTCATTTAATTGAGCTTAGCATTGTTTGAGATATTGGCAAGCTAAAATCGTGTATATGTTTGTAAGTAAAATAAATAAAGAAAACTGCGCAAAGTTTAAAAACACCTCTTTCGTTTAAAAAATGATAGTAATTAATTTTTAAGATCGATCATGTCCATATTTTTCGTTTTGTTATTTGTATACGTAATTATATCTTTCTTTTTATAAACTCAAAAAACTTTCCCAAAACCGACACGAGAAGTAAGGGCAAAAAAAGGAACGTTTATCACATTGTGTATTTATATCTTAATTTACGATGCTTGATTGGAAAAGTATTTCCCGTCCACAAAAATCAACAGATGGTTGTTTATTGTTGACTTTTGGATTTAATGTAAAGTGTAAATTACAATAACCCGTCAAATAAATTCATTCACACGCTTTGGGCTCGGAATTTGCCTCTAAAAACTGCCCAGAAAGATCGAAAGCAAGTGTCATTAACCGCAGCCAGACTTGCAGCTCGAATATATCATATATATGTTTAAAGCCCCGCTCGGTTCATGGTAAACTAAAAACCCCTGACGACAAGTGGCGTGCATTGGCCTCGTTTCAGTTTTTAGGCTTTGACAGGTATCAGACAAGTTGGAGCGATCAAGTTGGGCCTGCATTGCCGTCGAGTTTCTCTTGGCAACCGATACCCCCAACCCATCGTTTTCGCAATTGCAGATACGTTCTCGAATGTTTTTCTTTATATTTCAGTTTTTAGAGCACGCGCACCGTTTTGTGTTGATCTTATAAATTAGTGCCTCGAGCGTAATGGCACTCACAAATATTTTCCATTCGTGTCTGTCGGCTCCACTTTCTGCGTTAATAACCATTTTGTTAACATCAATAAGTTTAAGATCCGGACTGTAAGCCGATTATTTGTATTAATAATTTTGTAATTGATTTTATTCACATTAAAGCTACCCTTTAAGGGGTTTTGTAAAAATATAAAAATGCTTAAAAATTAAAAAAAAAAAAAAAAAACAAATAATTTTAATGGGTCTGTGAACTGTGGATAATTGTTTGCACCCAAAGCGAAATGCTGTGAATATTTTAAATTGGAAACCGGAATAAGATAAAAAAAACCAATGGGCTATTAAAAAAATATAAATATGCAAAATCCTTTGATAACATATAAAAATAAACAAAATCATAAAAAAAATTAGGAATTTTTGTTAGGTTGAAAGGAAAATTGAAAGTTTGAATGAATGCTTTGCCTAACCATTCTATACATCAATGGGTCTTAAAACAAAACAAAGGGAATAAAATTTCAGATAATACTCAAGATTTTCATTGATATTGACAAGTCACCTTGTTGCTCCACAACGTTTACCGTAATCAATTAACTACTTGATGGGAGCTCTCAACAAAATGGCCTTTTTTTGTTTCACAGAGATAATGGTTACGATTAACAGCTTAAGTTCCCTAAATTGTTTACCCGTAATTGACTAGGGAAAAAACCTTGAAACGAAAAGTGATTTCAGTGAAAACGGAAAATGTTTTACACGGATCTTTTCCCATGACATTAAATTCCCTTTGTAAATATGCCTAGAACGTTTTTATTTTTTATGAATGAATGCAATTTATGTAGGCGATCCTCGACTCTTGTTAATCTCTCCCCGTATTTCAATGTGATCTTTTCAGTTCCGCGATTATTTATCACAGGCTGTGTTCTCAGGTGAGTGAGTCACGGTTGTCTCATAAGTATTTTTTACTTGAATCATTCACTCAGAGCACGTCCCTCGTTCAAGATGCTTCCTTAAAATACATTCCACATACATGTATTTACGCACACTTATCTTGTCTAAATCTGCTTGCCAAGTATTTTGTTTGTCAGTCCATTTGCTTCAATTTTTATCAGTAATCACTTGATTGTTCATGACTATATAGCGCAAGCACTAAAGATACGTTGTAGTATTCAAGTAGGTCGCCTGACTTGTCGATAATGCAAGTCTCAGACAGTTTTTCCCCGTCTTCCAGTCGGAAAGCTAATGCAGTGCTCGTTTTCAAAAGGCGTTTGACGAACTTTGATTTTCGAGCTTATGGCTTTATCTTTATATGGTTACTTTTTTCGGTTTTTTACGATAACTGATAAGATATGGCGAAAGGAAGAGTTTGGGAATGTTAACGACGAAATAACTAATCGCAGGGATATAAATAATCAATCAAAATTGTGTCGAAAGGCATGATAAACAAAATCTATTATGTTGACCGTGTTTTGGAACCACTAAATTGATATGTATTAATAATGTTAATATATCTTGGTAAAGAGGGTTGTAAATGAAAAAAAACTAAAAAAAGTTCAGGTGTCCATTCAATATCCATGTGTAAATTATATTCTCTATTGGAATTGATTTCTTTAATAGTTTATCCAAGGATTTCTGTAAATCATTTCTAGCTTATTTGTCAAAGTTGCACCTTTGATATGTCATATGATTATCTTGATTGCCGTGTTGATAACTACTGTTGACTCAACCAATTAAACTCCTTGTTAGGAATACATTTCTAAGAAAACCTGACTGGGGAACAATTCCAATCGATCCGTTTGGAGAGTACAGGATTAGCCATACGAATACCAAGAATCGTAATAAGGTGAGTCATAACGGAATGTACATCTTCAAAGTTTTGTCAGATTGTAAATTGTATATTTAGCTTCGAAACGAAGACGATGAAGTGTTAAATTGTCCACGTTTGAATTCCGGTATTTAATAATTGTTTGTTTATTAGCAGAATTTTATGGACGAGACACATGACAAGCCGAGACAAATCAAAGTGAAATAAATCGCAAAGACCGAAATAAATTTTGCATTGCATTTGTAATCAAAACACACAAACACATCGAGTTTTTTTATAGATGCCTTATGGGATTGTTAGTGTTTCGAAGAATTCGAGAAAATCCCGGGCCTGACCAAAAACCGGAACACCAAGTAAAGTAAAGTGGCAGAATCTCCTTGCGAGGCGCAAAACTGTTTTTTCACAGACAGAGACAAAAGATGCGGTGGAGAGAGGGGCTATCTAGAGTGCAATAAACTGCAACATAAATTCTTATGCTAAATAATTGCCATACGAGAGTTCAAGGGGCTGAAAGGGGGATCTGTTGTTCTTGGAAAATCACGAGGCTCTGCCTCAGGGTCAACAACGCTTCGCACAGTGTATTGGTCTTATTTTTTATATTATTCTTGCCTGTATGGGTGTGTGTTCAAGTGCGTTTTCAATTACAGGTTCTTAAACAGCGCCGATTTATCGTATTTTACTTTATATGTTTTGATTTTTTTCCACTCTCACAAGACGTTCACTTCACAGTCTCTTTTGTTTTGGGTTTCCCATCGGCTCCTTTGGGAATTTTATACAACTTTCAATCAACTCCTTTTTTTATTCATTTGTTTTATGCTGATCTTAAGTGATGCTTAAAACTGCGTCACAACACACAACAAACTTTGGCGTAATCACGCTTCGAACGCGAAACAATTGACAAAAAACACAGCTAAGCAAAACGAGTAAAGCTCACCGATCGAGCCAGAAACATATGGTGCGCGCACGTCTGTCGGGTTCAACAATCGTCGGCTGACTGAATATTGCGAATAAACCGGGGACGGCAACAACTCCACTCCACCAGCCCCTCAACAACAAAGCAACAAAGCGCCACAAGGCCCATCAAATCCGATGGAGCATGAGCATAAGCTTTCGGAAGTTGGTTCAGACACGAGACGTTCGTGCTGCTGATTAAAGACCTGACCTGGGGTCCGACCTGTCTTTGTCAAAAATTGATATTGAGTTGATAGCTCTCTTAGAAGATGAAAACTTGATCTCAATGTTAAATTTTTTGGAAGGAATACCAGCTTGGAAGCTTCAAGTCATTTGAAACTAAATTAAACTAAACGATTCTTTAATAGTTTTTAAGCAAAACATCTGTAAAGCTGTACAATTTTAAATTCTCGTCTTACCATTCTGAAATTTACCAATTTTTAATATTTGCCGCCGATTATCGATGACTCCCAACAATGCGATACTGCTAGTTATAAAATCGATGTTCTACAACTGCTTGCAAGAGGTTTTTGCAAAATAAAATTAATCCTATTAAAATGTACAAAATGTACAAAATGTATGTAATGAAATATGTATATATTTTTATTATTTTTTTTTTTTTTGAAAATTGAAAGAAGTTTAGTGGTTTTTTGCCGGCTTTAAATTTCTGTAAAGAACCCGTTCAAAAAGAGACGAAATCGGTTTATATTCCGCATTATCTACAGTGCAAAGTAAATACACAAGTGGTAGCTTCGCTTTGGGATTTCTACTCTACACTAAATTTTTTAAACGAAAGTGTAAATACTCTCTTATTATTTAACTTGAATCGATTGTGTCAGAACAAACATCAATGCTAGTAAAGGAATCATCGATAGTATCGGGTAAACATCATTTTTCGTTCCATCTCTAGACTACGCTCGACCTATTTTCAGAGAAAAAAGGCAATATTTTGCGAAAAACTGTTGTAACTAGACGAAAAACACCAGCTCGAGCATCAAAAGGACCTTCTTCATGCACCGAAGACCGAGGGCAGACCAGACAATTGCAGTGTAAACCGATGTGCGCAAAATGAAAGTGACAATCAAGTCATGGACGGGAGTTGCAACTTGGCGTTGGATAGCGAATGACGAGAACTGCGGTATCTGTCGCATGTCCTTCGAGAGCACCTGCCCGGAGTGCGCGCTGCCCGGTGACGACTGCCCTCTGGTGTGGGGTGTCTGCTCCCATTGCTTCCATATGCACTGCATCGTCAAGTGGCTGAACCTACAACCGTTGAACAAACAGTGCCCCATGTGCCGCCAGAGCTGGAAGTTTAATGTGCATTAGAGCACCTTACTATCTAGTTTCAGTAACTAAACCCCACACAAATCAGCAGAAAGAAAGAGAGTACCAGTAAGCTTTATTGAATGATGGAGAACACCGGCAGCAGCGACGCCCAGCCGCATTTGACGGGTCTGCCGCCACTGCCAAAAAGTCTGAGTGCCGCCTCGTCTGCTCCTGTGGCCATTGGCCCACATCCCCGTACAGCCTCGCCGGCTTCAAGTGTTTCCGCACTGACGGCAGCCGCCGGAGAACTTTATCTGGGCCCCTCCACCTCCTCGTCGGCAGCGGCGGCCAGGAACCGCAGCTACAACGGACACGGCCATGGCCAACGACACGGAAGTCTCTCCTCCACGCAGGAGTCACTCAGCGATCGGGAGTCTGTGCACAGTCGCGCCTCCAGCACACATAGCGCTGGGGCGGGCCACACGCCCACCAACAGCTCGAGCAGCACCGGAGCTTCCTCTTCGACCATCGACAACCAGCTGGCCATTCTGCGAAGGGAGATGTACGGCCTGAGGCAACTGGATTTGTCATTGCTCTCACAGCTGTGGGCGCTCAACGAGTCGATACAGGGATTTCGGGTGTTTCTTCAGGAGCAGGATGCCATGTCGCCTCCTTCGAGGTCTCGCACGCCATCGGATGCGAATTCCTTAAGTTCCGACGAGGAGGACGATGGCTCCTATGCGCCAGTGGCTTTGCCCAAGATGACGGACGCCGCGGGAAGTGCAAGTGCGGGAGTGGTTAGCTCCCGTGCTATGGCCTCGCCGGCAGCTAGCGGCGGACTGCCCACCAAACTGGCCACGGGGTCAACTACATCTCATGCCTCGACCAGCTCCACTTCTGGGGCCTCGGGCTCCTCATCGGCTGCCTCGTCGATGGGCAAGCACCAACAATTGCAGCAGCAACAACAGCAGCAGCAGGCGACAAACCACTACCATCAGAGGCCGGCGCCACCACCCGCACCACCAGCCCAGCACAAGGCACATCCGCAACTGCCGAGGATTCTGCAGCAGCGCATGAGACAGGCACCACCCCCGCCGCCGCCCACAAGGCAAAAGGGGGGCGGCGGCGGTGGTGGGGGCGGGGCGAGCACTAGCAGCAGTAACCACAGCATCAGCAGCGTCACCCAGCCGCATCCACACTCACTCCAACATCCCCAGCATACCCACCATTCGCGGCCTGTATGACAAAACCCGTTCTTGGACTAAGCCAAGTTCAAGAACAGAAACAGATTTTCATAGCAGCCGCTGCCAACACTTCGGAAAGGGTCAATTAAACGACATTTCTCCAAGAGTCAATTCAAATTCAAGTGCAGAAAGATCACAAACACACTCACTCTGTCAACTCTCATCTCATAAAGCTTGCCATGGTCCTCGTTCTTGATATTGAAACACGAAACATATGAATGGTTTATAAATGTTTTTTGCGAAACGATGAAAATGTCATTGAATGTAAGCGTACCACTTTTCACGTTTAATATTAAATAATAAACACAAGAAATTTGTATTCAATAATAATCGCTAAGTAGTAAAGGATAAGATCCTTATATGCATCTATGTATTACTCGAATTGTATAAACATAAATTTAAAATGCTTGAAATTCCGCATCGAATTCATAGATCTAGTTTTATTATTTGCGTTGACTCTGAAATGTTTTGTTACAATGCATACTATCCAACAAAAACTAAATCAAATTGTTCCAACTCATGTAGCACTAACCAAAACTAAACTCTTGGCCTATATATGAATATCTGGATGATTTTATAGCCCTGTTAATTAGGGCTGGCTTTTCGAGTGCCCTTTAATAGATGAAGTCCCTGTTAAGAACATTTGGTTTTCACGAGTGTAAAAGAAAACAGATTGACTGTTGGTTAGTTTTTTTTTTTTTTTTGAGCAGGTGGTTAAATTTTATTTAACAGACACTCGAGAAACCGGCCGAAAAATTATATTATGCAAAAATGTATCTGCATCTCAAAGCGAAACCTAGCTGATCTTACTGTTAGCCAATAATCCTATCATTAACACTCCAAAATCTAGGCATTATATGTAAAGCTCAAGTATTGGAGCAAATCCCCCGAGCAGTTGTACTGTGCATTTCAGAACTGTAAGGCATTTGTATACAAGTTGCATGAATATTTATAATCCCTAATGGGACACATTTACAGAAAACTATAGTAAGTGAAGTCCAACTGTCTTACAGCTTTGGAACGCATTGTATATAATATTTATATACGAAATACATATACAATTTTTACCACATAAAGATTAAAAAATCGATAATTAATGAATTGAACGCAGTAAATACCATCGAGTATTCCCATATCACAAACATACGGGAGATTGCGAAATGAAAAAAGATTTACATATATTACCTAATCGAAAATTAAAAAGTTTCCAATATTTATTGTTAGTTCTTAGAATGTTTTATTTCTTAAAACAAATTCCTTATAACCCCACTAAAATTAAAACTCCCTTCAAAGATAAACGATTGGAATTTAAATTTACTCTATCATAATTAATGGTTCTTTATTTCAACTTCAAACACAATTCTAAACGAGACTACAAATCAAAATCTTTGGAAAATGAATATCAAGCAGATCACTAAAACATCGATATTTTAGCAATAAACATATACTGCAGCACAAGTCGCTAAATGTAAGCTTTGAATATCTTGGCTAAAATATGTCAGAACCAGACAGTCAATTTAATTTTTCAGATCAAGACCAATTTAATATGAAAGGAATTTTTTCTGAATGGTTAAACTAAAAAATAGTAATTTGAATTTTAAATTAATTTCATTTATATATTCGTTAATTAGGTCTTATTCGTTTGTAATATATATTTATTTAAATGTGATGTAATTTATTTTTATTCTTTTACCAATTAGCTAAAATATTTTTTTATATATGCTACCTTGTTAGAACTTCTGATAATGGTTGAGCCTAAGGTAAATGATCGTATTTCAACCGAGTTATTCAAAGTTGCAACAAGCTGAACTCATCAAATAAATTTGAGATGAACTTTTAAAAGCTTTTGCTGTGTACAAAGAAGCAAGCAAGATATCGAAAATTTACACTGACCGAAACATATACAATTTTGTGGTTGAGATAGAAACACATTTACCAGAAAGATTAATTTAAACATTTTTTGTGTTGATGAAAGATGGGGATGACATCGTTAAAAAATGAATTATGTAATGGCAATTTATTAATGAACGAAAGAAACGATACGAATGAATCGATACAATAAATATCAATTTAAATATCTTTGCGCAGATGTGGAATTAATTATAGATTTCTTAAAACTTTTTATTTTTTGTTTGTTTCTAATGACAGACTTAAAACATTATTTTTGCGGGTCAATTCAACCTCAAGTCGAGTTTTGGATGGTTCAGTCTAGGTGCTGAATGTTCCACAGCAATCCGAGGGGATTTCTGAAAAAGCATTTTAAACAACGAGGAATCTTTTGGCTTATTTTAAGTACTTACTGCTTGTAGGTCCCCAGCCCAGAGGGACGCCTAACCGACTGTTTTCCTGCTTGAGCCACTGGTAGAGCGGGTCAAAGTACTCCAATAGAGCGGATGGATCCATTTCCGTCTCGCCCGTGAACTCCTCCAGTACCTCCTTCCAGTGGCGAGATTTGCCCTTCGAGAGGAACTGGCTAAGCGATCGACCCGCAGCTTTGCTGCCAAAGATATCGCAGTTGTCCAATGCCAGGCGACTTTCATTCGGAGCATATTGTCCGGCCTTGCTGCAGAGGGCCTTGTGGAACTGAAACTGGAAGATGTGGGCGGCAAAGTAGCGCAGATACTCCACATCCGCATCAATGTGATACTTGGCTGGCGGGTCAAAGTCCTTTTCAGAGCGGAAAACTGGTGGCTCGACACCGCCAAACTCGGAACGCATCTGCCAGAAGCCGCAGTTCCATTGAGATTTGTCCAATTCGTTGCGGAAAACGGCATAGCGATACTTATCAACGGCATATCCAAAGGGCAGGAAAACAATCTTAGAGAGAGCCTGTTTGAAGAGCTGGTTGATTCTACTCTTCTCGTCCAGTCTGCCATTGTCAATAAGTCCAATCGTTTTCAAGTGCTTGGCAGACATAACCGACAAGGCGATAACATCTCCCACAGCCTCATGGAAGCCGGGATTAGGAGCTCCCCTATAGACAGCCGGCTGCTGTTCGTATTGCAGGTAGTATTGAATGTGTCCCAACTCGTGGTGAACCACGTAGAAGTAGTGGTTATCCACCTCGGTACACATCTTGATCCTCACATCACTGTCCTGGTAAAAGTCCCAGGCCGAGGCATGGCAAACCACCTGACGATCGTCAGGCCGGGTAAGTACACTGAGATTCCAGAAACTTGGCGGCAGTGCTCGCATTCCGAGCGACTGGAAGAACTGATCCCCCCAACTCGAAGAGCTTTTGAACCGTGTATTCCTGTCGCTCCATTTCAGCCTTTACGTCCACGAAGGGTTTCTCGGGAAAGGGAGCAAACAGATCGAGCAGCTCGTTCCACGACTGACCCCACATGTTGCCCAGTAGACTTATCGGAATGTTTCCATCTGCTGCCATCACATCCGGACCGTAGTGCTGTCGCAGACGGTAACGAACGTAGCCATGGATCTGTCTGTAGAAGGGCAGCAGCTGCTTAAATGTGGCATCCAATTGTCGCTCAAAGTCGGGATCCTCGTAGAATTGCACCCAGTAGTCGGCATATGAGCGGTGATCTATGGAAAGACAAGAATCAAATTTTGTCAGCATCTCTCTTGCAATTGCAATCCATTTCAAAGTCTGAAATATTGATACCCCCATTAACCTCATATTAAATAATAATATTGCATACAAATAATAATATTGCATGCAAAGAGTTTCAAGCCTGCAATTGATAACAATATATTTTTAGAACCATAAGGTTTTCACTTAACAATCACTGTGAAAAAATTAGCTAATAAAGGCTTTAAAGAATTTTTAAAATGTGTTATTATTTTTCCAATTTTTTTAAAGATTAAATATTACCCTATTTCATTATAGAAAGCTATTTTAAAAGTGGAATGTTAATAGAAAAAATTTCTTTAAGATTAAATATTATCCCGTTTCATTATACCAAGCCATTTCAAAAGTGGAATGTTAATAGAAATAAATGCCAAACCAACAAATGCCAAATGAATGACCTAATTTGATTAAAGTTTCTTGCCTTGTTTTTTACTTTTGACAGTTCGGGGGAAAGCCCGGTATAAGCGTTGCTAATACATTTTTAAATACCTAAGTATCTAAAAAGAAAATATCTACCAGTTTTTTCGCGTGTTGACCAGACAATTTCCCCGATTCGGGTCAGACACTGGGTTATCGGGGCATCCATCAACACTCACCATTCAATTGAGATGCCTTGCGCGTCAGCCTTACGTACTCCGCAAAATGCTCTTTCATAGGCGTTCCGGCCTTGTCGTGCCACTCCCGCCAGTACCAGGCCAGTTCGGCAGGATCCCTACTGTTCGACAGCCGCTCCTGGATGTGCGGTTCCAACGTAAGGGAGCAATCAGTGCGATTGGTAAAGGAACACACGGTAGCCGTGGCATAGTTTGTCTGCATCGAACTAATGGCATTCTGAAGAGCCAAATAATCGTCGGCATTCAGGGCGGAGGCTCCCAGTTTGGAGAGGTGTTCCGCCTGTCGACGAATATCCGCATCCTCCGACTGCACGTAATCGGCGGCCTTTATCCTTTGAGCCAGTTTTTTATTAATCTCCGCATTTCGGGCATACACTTCGATCATGGCCTGTCGGTTCGCTTCCGAGACATTGGTATTATAGTTATAACCGGAAAGGAACTCCTCGTGGTAACGCTTCCGTAATTCCTCATTTTCCAGCTCGAAAAACCTGCGGGCCTCCAGCACTGAAGCCGAGCAACTATTGCCCATAGCCATGCAATGGGGTAGCTAATAAGTTATACAATATGCACACGTTTACATTTCGTAGTGGTATAGTTGTAGGTGTTTTAACTATTGAACTCACCCACAGAATCAGAACTAGACAAAAGGCTGCTAAATTAAATGTCCCCATTGCTTTGGCGCCTTTCCCTGTTCAAGCCGCTCTTATCAGCTCGCTGCCAGCTACTTTGCACTTTGAATTTCAGTAGTATTAAGACGTTACAGCACCAGATTGCTATGCCTTTCTCGTTGCTGCTGTTGTGGAGCTACTGAATTTTCTAAACAGCGGCTACTTGTTTTTATAAGAGCGTTTGCCGGCCCCACAAGAATACAAGATTAAAGCAGTTCACAGCGATGCCAACTACTGAACTCAAAAATCTATTTTGTAAATAGCTAAATAAATATAATATTATTGGACATATGAAGTTTTACATTTCGAGGAGTATATTATTTACCTAGTGCATTATAAACACAAATGCAGTCTCCTAAAGATAGACCTAAAAAACGTACTTACCTTGTTATTGTTAGTCTTATTATTAGTAGGGTAAGATGGGGTAAAACCGCCAAAAACGTATATTTGACGATGTCAAGCTTTCATTTATAAAATGATCAATGATCCAAATCATATTTCTGAAAGTTTAATCCCTTGGCTACATAATTCATTTAGAAAGTTTTTATGTAGCTTTTATTTTAAAAGAATTGTGATCGTTCAGAAGAAAAGTTTAAAACGGCGGTTTTACCCCACCTAGTGGGGTAAAAACGCCATTCTGGTTTTAGTGTAGTTAAGTACCCAAATAATGTCAATAACTTCTGAGAAAAATTTTTATTCAATTCAAATGGATATTACATGTTACAACGAATATATTATATAAAAGTAAAAATAAGAAATTGAAGCGAAGTCATAAGCAAATCGTCGAACTGCTGTCCGAGAGAAACCATGAAATATAGCTGATGCTTTTATAAGATATTTCTCAAGCGATGCCTCTTGGTCGTCAGTAAAAATCTGTAAAATAAGAATTACGTGGTTAAAATAGTTTTAAACTAAGAAGAAATGTCGCATTAACAAAGGTTTGAAACTGAAAATTAAAATATTCTTATTTAAAAGATAAAATCATTTTATACAAAACTGTTTGCAATTATCTGTTCAAAAAGAAAGGCTGTTATTTTTAAATTGAATTGAATTCAAAATCATGACATTATATATTGTTTCAATTGACAAAAATTGTGAATATTTGACACTTTACCTGGGGATGATGGCCATAATAAGCGTTGTGCGCTTTGTTGAATCGGTCTCGCAAAGTCTCTCGGGGAATCCCATATTTTTCGGCAACAACTGCCACCTTGCTGCCCTCCTGAACTTCCTCGATTGCCCGTTGAAATATATTTTCATCAATTTTTGATTTTTTTCTTGCGTAATTGCGAGGCATGATGCTGAAAGACATTCATTCTCGATTAAAACGAGTTTTTCCGTTATCAAATTGTGTGGCGTTTTTACCCCACCTTTTCGCGGCGTTTTTACCCCACGCGTCAATTTTTTTCGAGGTCACTTAGTTTGTACAATTTTGGAAATATTGACTAACTTGATACATGTACATCAGTATCAAGGTTCGTACTATAAGCGGACACTTACCTCTTTTTTTTTAAGCCGTTCACTTACACTTGATTGAGCAATCTTTATAACAAAAATTTTTTGGCGCCGTCGAGTGAAACAAAAATGGCGCTATAGAAATTGTCACGATAAAGCTGCAGTATTCCGACCGACTTCAAAAACCGCGCATTATTAATCAGAATCTACATTATCAACGGTTAATCGTTTCGGCGCTTCATTTGAATTTGAAATCCAAATGGCGGTTTTACCCACCGGCGGTTTTACCCCATCTTACCCTATACTTTACATGTACAACATTTTATATATATGTTGTTTTTGTACTTCACATTAAAATAAGATCATAATATTAAAGACGTATAATTTTATCTTTGTTAAGAACCTTATAGGTGATATTTTAAACAAATCGTCAAATATATTTGGGAAATAAGTTTTTAGATTTTAACAGTTCATTGTCTAGAGATAAAATGACGGTTGTAGCATCACTGACAGAACATGCACTTGCGATGTCGATACGATTTTCGAACTGCTTGCAGTCTCACATTCAGTTACAATCACAAGAGTGTGCGTGTTCCGAAATTTTACACCTGTCCACCAATCTACCTGGTTTGTTTATACTCTTTGTTATAGTCTCTGCTTTATCCGCACTCAGCTGTTAAGTCCATTTCTTACGGTATTCTACATATATAGTGGCATTGACCGATTGTGCATTATCCAATACCTATAATTTACCTGTACGGTGTCCATGAAAGTGAGCACTTAACGTATAGCTTTCATTTTTTGTTTGATAAAAATATTGCAAGTATGTACGTACATTGTGGTACTCAACAAATGGTTCCAAAAATTATGTGTCATGACTCATGAGTCATGACATATTACAAACTTTTCTTCTACACTTTAACATTCTTTCCCGCCCACAAGAAAGACTAATGTAATTAAAAAAAAATTAAAATTTTATTTTTATACCCAAATAAAAACCAAAATTCAAACCCATGTTTTAAATTATTTCCTTTGCGACACTTAACTTTGGAGATTGCTGGTGGAAACGGGACCTCTTAGGTTTTAATTTCTTGATTATTGTTCAGGAACAAGTACCACATCAATGTCCCGACAGCAATGTATAGCAGAATTTCAAGAAGGCGATGCAGTATGCGCAACCTAAAATAAACTTTTTAAAATTGTTTACAACAAAACTGAATTTTACACACCTAAATAATCTCCGTTTGGACTTTTCCAATGTATCCCAGGACTCCTTAAAAAGGAATACCCTCATTCCGGTAACGATGCGACTGAAGTAGTCGTCCCAGTTAAGGTTGGCCATATCGAAGGGAAATATTGCTCTATCCCACGCCGACATAACGTCCCACATCTTAGTGGTATTATTTGTATCCATTATGATCGTTCTTCCACTAAAAGGGTATAACAGGAGCAGTGCCTCGTGGATCTTAGGATAGCTCTTCATCAAGATAGGCTTCCGACCTTGAAGCCGCAAGACGAGATCGGTTAGAAAACCAGGTATCAGGTGGTAAAATATACAGCCTAACTTAAACAGAAAAGGGCAGGTGGTGAAGTGGGCAAATGGGTACCAAATCGTTTTAGTGACAGGAACCTTATGAAATTTTTCGATGCCCATCTTAACGGACGTTTTAAATGGGATTGCGTTTGATTTGTCCGGTGCGAAGGCGTAAATGGGTGGAGGGCTTTTTGCAGCCAGGGAAGAGGAGGGATTGGCATTCTTGGACACTTGCCATCCAGATGCCACGGCAACGTTGGCGCAATAATCACCGGGAACTACCATGGCTTTAGCATTGGGATTAACATACAACAGTCGAAGAATGCCGTAAACATTGCCGTAAATCAAGGCTACGACTCCATGTAGGTTGTCAATCCATCCAGACAACGGCTCCTTGAAGTTCGCCAAAACTGTAATAAGAAAATAATTTGTTTTTAGAAGCGACTTAATTTTAATGGTCTAGTCGTATTCATGTAAAACTTGCAAAAGGTAGTTATTAATAATAAAGAAAATGTTTTAAGAATTGAAAAAAACATCCCTTAATTCTTGATTGACATATTATGACTGCGTTAAATATACGTGGATAGTTTTCATTATAAACAGACATTCAAATACACTTAAGGTATAAATTTGCACACACGAAACTAATTCTAATTCTAAATCACTTACTTATGGCAGGTCGGAAAATGCAAATCGGCAGGTCCTGACCTTCCATTTGAATCACTTGTTCGGCAAGGGCCTTCGTGTAGACGTAAGTGTTCGGGAACTTTCCCATCAGAGCTGGAGCCATGCTGTTCAATAACTCAGGGCTCAAAGTCTCGTTGAACTCAAGCACCTTGGCTGCCGGACACGTCAGGTTTTCCGGATAGAAACGCTCCTGGATATGATTTGTGATGCAGTTGGAGTAGGCAGTAGAAACGTGTACGAAAGCCTTAAGGCCCTTCATCTCCTTGGCCAACTGAATCATGAGGCGCGTGCCGCGAGTGTTGATGTTCAGCGCATTGTGGAGCGGCTCCACAAAACGAATAGAGGCGGCACTGTGGATCACCACCTCGACCTCGGAGGTCAGTATTTTTCTATCCTCCTCGCTGAGACCCAGATCCGGTGCGCTACAGTCTCCTGAAATAGGTGTCATCAGACTTAGGGCCTCCGGCTTGGCCTTTAAAAGGACATCAAAAACCTAAAAAAATATTGTTTTAGGATATTATTCTATATCCTTGTAATCCATAGATAGTTTTGTTGTTACTCACCGGTGCATTTTTCCATACTTCGAAGCGTGACTCCACATTTTCGTCTTTTTTTTTCCTAACCAAAAAATAGATACGCTTCACATCCGTGGAACGTAATAACTTTTCAATTATCACTAAAAATCGGAGTGGAAACGATTGCTTTTTAAACTGAATAAATCCTTTTCGTGTAAGCTGGTATACCTTTGCCTAAAAATCCTGTGCCTCCGGTTACGAAAACGGTTTTGTCCTTATAAAATTGTTGAATATCCGACTGCATTTTGTACTGATCTGGGTTCCGCCTAAGAATCACCACAAATGAGGAATGCTATCACTCTTTATAACAAAATGCTAATAAGTCGGCAATTATACAATTTACATATTGCATCAATCTGCATTGTTATGGGGTGTTTGGTGTTGCGTTTAGTATTTGGTTGCAGCGATGAAAGCTTTGGCGGCGAAAGGTAGATATTCATATTAGGCGCGAAACTAATTGAAAAAATTTGTCTGCAATGTTCGTGAAAACTAAAACTGAAGGTCTGAACTCATTTTCAATCCAATCTGCATTATTTATTTTATTACACCAACGATAACAAAAAAGGTGTTCATTTTCCTCGGGATGATCATCGGCTCTGGCGGCAGAAATCAAGGTTTCTAAATCCCGCAGACACTGCTCCTTTCTTTAAATGTGTATTTAGTCTTTTTAGTAAAATATTACATGAACAACATTTTATACATATGTAAGTTGTTTCTGACCGTAATTTTCGTGCTGCGCAAAAAGCAAAACCAGGTGTCCAAGCTTCACATCTTTCACCATTTATCCACGGTGACGCTGATATACATGCTTATTAACCACAACGAGAATGGCGAGTCCCTTCCTCTTTACGTATTATCTATTTCTAAAGCGTCGAATACTCCTGGACGATCGAGTTAAGAAACACGCTGAAATAAGCGGCGTCGCCTGCGCTTATTTCAGCGTGTTTCTTAACTCGATCGTCCACGTTTTCATGTACTCCTACTACTTCTTGGCCGCCGTGGCCGACAAGAAGGTAGTGCAGGCCCTGTGGCCCGTCAAGAAGAGCATCACGGTGATGCAAATGACGCAGTTCGCTTTAATCCTGGTTCAGTTGGTCTGTCAGATCGTGCTCTGCACCACGCCACTCTATCATACTATTTACTTCACCGCCGTTATTGTGGGCATGTTTTACGGCTTCTTGGACTTCTACAATAGTGCCTACCAGGTCTCGCAGCGCCGCAAGAATCTGTCTCCTTCGCCCGAAGTGGGGAAGTGATCCCACGCAAACAAATCACGCAATAAAAGTGCACAACCAACAAGTGTGTGTATCCAAATGTACCTAGGGCAGATAAGATAAGGCCACAGCCGCGACAATGGGTTCTGGGGTTAGTCACTCCCTCTACAGCGACCACTTACCGTGTAGTATGACAGCAGTCCGGCGTTCTCGTCCAGCGCGAAGAAACGGTACTGCCAGCCCTTCATTACGTTAGTCCACTTGCTCAGTGTGCCCTCCAAAGTGCCAGTGGCCCCCGAGCCTTCGGCTGCACCAGCAGGGATTCCCAGGCTGGGAGAGCTTCCACCGCTGCTGGCCATGTCCTCCAGTTCCCGTGACTCGACCACCGCCCCCTCCCCCTCCACTGATCCATCTTCGTCTTCTTCCCCAGGGGCGTTCCGTGTCGCCGGCGATCGCTTGGCTCGCTTTGCGAGTTCTTATCTGGCCAGGAGCCGATGATGACGCAATGTTGCTCCACAACTCGCAACCGCAATCTGTCACAGCAGCTTCGCACGCTTGGAAAACAAAAACATCGGTCTCATGGTACAATTATACCAATTATGTATAATTGTACCATGAAGGCGACAGCTAAAACTAACAAAGAGTAGTGACAGTGTAAGATCCTTTGTGTCGCTGCTACGCACACAAACAAGGGTGCCGATCATTAATAAAAAATAAATACATACATTTCTCACAGCGTGTGGGTACCAAATCGTTTTGGTGACAGGACTCTTATGGTTGTTATCGAGGCTTTTTTGAACGGCCGTTCTATAGTCGATTGTGTTTGATTTGTCCGGTGCGAAGGCGTAAATGGGCGGAGGGCTTTTTGCAACCAGGAAAGACGATGGATTGGCCTTCTTGGACACTTTCCATCCAGATGCCACGGCAACGTTTGCGCAATAATCGCCGGGAACTAAAATGGCGTGAGCATTGGAATTAGTGTACACCAGTCGAAGGATTCCGTGAGCACACTCCGTGTGGGTTGTCAATCCATCCAGACATCGGCTCCTTGAAGTTGGCCATAACTGCAATGGAAAATAATTTGTTTTAAAAAAAATTTACCTTCACTCCACCCGGGAGCATAGGTCCTCTGGGGTTGCCACCTGGCGCCATAGGAGTGACGAAAGTTCTGTTATTGTGTCCATAGTAACGTGGACGAGGGGGTTTGCGGGTCCGGGGAGCCGAAATTTGTTACTATTGTTAAGTGAGCGATAGAGCCTAGGACTCGAACCCGGGCCTTCCGGATCGGAGACCAGCGCTCTACCTGCTGGTCCACCGACCTAGTGACCTAATTTTAATGGTCTAATAAGGCAATTATTAATATTAACAAGAAAGGAAGCTAGCTTCGGCAAGCCGAAGTTTATATACCCTTGCAGCCATCAAATATTTCGAACAGAATACACAAAAGCTAAACAACATCGAAGCTACGACGACTTTTCTATTAATTTTCCATATTTTTGACTATTGTTCATATGGCAGCTATATGATATAGCCGTCCGATTTTGATGAAATTTTATTTGTTATTCAAGAGTCGTTAGAAAACTTTCTATTCCAAAAATCATGATTTTCTGATGAGAAATAACGATGTTATCATTTTATTTCCGTTAATTCTATATAGATTTTTCGATCTTTCCTATGGCAGCTATATGATATAGTTGTCCGATTTTTATGAAATTTTTTTTATAAATCAAGGCTAGTTAAAAAACTTGATACTCAAAAAATCATAGTCGTGTGATGAAAAACAATGACGTTATCAATTAGTTTCCATTAATTCTATATATATATATTTTGATCTCTCCTATCTTTGCTCTGCAAGGGTATAAAAATATTTTTTTCAAGGCCTGAAGAAAATATAGCATAATTCTTGATTTACATGCATGACTGAGTTGAATATGAGTAGAATGTTTTCATTATTAACAGTCATTCAAATACAATAAAGGTATTCATCGATTTACATAAATTTGCACACACAAAACTAATTCTAGTTCTAAATCACTTACTAATGGCAGGTCGGAAAATGCAGATCGGAAGGTCCTGACCCTCCATTTGAATCAACTGTTCGGCAAGGGCCTTCGTGTAGACGTAGGTGTTCGGGAACTTTCCTATCAGAGCTGGAGCCATGCTGTTCAATAACTCAGGGCTCAAAGTCTCGTTGAACTCAAGCACCTTGGCTGCCGGACACGTCAGGTTTTCCGGATAGAAACGCTCCTGGATATGATTTGTGATGCAGTTGGAGTAGGCAGTAGAAACGTGTACGAAAGCCTTAAGGCCCTTCATCTCCTTGGCCAACTGAATCATGAGGCGCGTGCCGCGAGTGTTGATGTTCAGCGCATTGTGGAGCGGCTCCACAAATCGAATAGAGGCGGCACTGTGGATCACCACCTCGACCTCGGAGGTCAGTATTTTTCTATCCTCCTCGCTGAGGCCCAGATCCGGTGCGCTACAGTCTCCTGAAATAGGTGTCATCAGATTTAGGGCCTCCGGCTTGGCCTTTAACAGGATTTCAAAAACCTAAAAAAATATTGTTATCTAATTTTACGAACTCATTTTTTAGGATATTATTCTATATCCTTGTAATCCATAGATAGTTTTGTTGTTACTCACAGGTTCATTTTTCCATACTTCGAAGCGTGACTCCACATTTTCGTCTTTTTTTTCCTAACCAAAAAATAGATACGCTTCACGTCCGTGGAACGTAATAACTTTTCAATAATCACTAAAAATCGGAGTGGAAAAGATTGCTTTTTAAACTGAATAAATCCTTTTCGTGTAAGCTGGTATACCTTTGCCTAAAAATCCTGTGCCTCCGGTTACGAAAACGGTTTTGTCCTTATAAAATTGTTGAATATCCGACTGCATTTTGTACTGATCTGGGTTGCGCCTAAGAATCACCAAAAATGAGGAATGCTATCACTCTTTATAATAAAATGCTAATGCCCTTTAAGTGCTGTAATAAGTCGGCAATTATACAATTTACACATTGTATCAATCTACATTGTTATGGCGTGTGGTGTTGCGTTTAGAATTTGGTTGCAGCGATGAAAGCTTTGGCGGCGAAAGGTAAATATTCATATACGGCGCGAAACTAATTGAAAAAATTTGTCTGCAACGTTCGTAAAAACTAAAACTGAAGGTCTGAACTCATTTTCAATCCAATCTGCATTATTTATTTTATTACACCAACGATAACAAAAAAGATGTGCATTTTCCTCGGGATGATCCTCGGCTCTGGCGGCAGAAATCAAGGTTTCTAAATCCCGCAGACACTGCTCCTTTCTTTAAATGTGTATTTAGTCTTTTTAGTAAAATATTACATGAACAACATTTTATGCATATGTAAGTTGTTTCTGTACTTCCCATTTATACACGAAATTAATATTCAACACTTATCATTTTGTCTTTGTTAAGAACCTTATAGGTGATTTTTTTAAACAGAGCGCAATATATATATGTGAACAAAATTAATTCTTACGGTGTTCTACATATATAGTGGCGTTGACCGATTATGCATTATCCAATACCTAAACTGTAACTGTAAGGGGTCCATGAAAGAGAGTACTTAACGTATAGCATTACATTCAAAAAAAATTCGTTTCTGTTTAGATAAAAATATTGCAAGTATGTACGTACGTTTTGATATTCAACAAATGTATTTTAACGGTTCCAAATATTGTGTGTTTGGCATACTCCTTTTTTATTCTACGAAATTCTTGTCACACTTTTACTTTATTTTCCCGCTCACATGAAAAACTAATGTAGTTAAAAGAAAATTTAAAAATGTTATTAGTTAATAACCCAATAAAACCCAAAATTGAAATCCGTGTTTTAAATTATTTCCTTCAGGATACTAAACTTGGAAGAATAATTATTGCTGGGGGAAACGAAACCTCTTCGGTTTTAATTTCTTGATTATTGTGAAGAAACAAGGTCCATATCAATGTCCCGACAGCAATGTATAGCAGAATTTCAAGAAGGCGATGCAGTAAGTGCAACCTAAAGTAAACGTACTTTTAAAATAGTTTTTAACAAAACTGAATTTTACACACCAGAATAATCTCCGTTTGGCCTTTTCCAATGTATCCCAGGACTCCTTAAAAAGGAATTCCCGCATACCGTTATAGATCCGACTGAAGTAGTCATCCCAGTTGAGATTGGCCATATCGAAGGGAAATATTGCTCTATCCTCCGCCGACATATCATTCCAAATATTGGTGGTATTATTCGTATCCATAACGATAGTTCTTCCACTAAAAGGGTATAACAGGATCAGAGCCTCATGGATCTTAGGATAAATCTTCATCAAGATAGGCTTCCGACCTTGAAGCCTCAAGACGAGATCAGTGAAAAAACCAGGTATCAGATGGTAAAATATACAGCCTAACTTAAACAGAAAAGGACAAGTGGTGAAGTGGGCAAATGGGTACCAAATCGTTTTGGTGACAGGACTCTTATGGTTATTATCGAGGCTTTTTTGAACGGCTGTTCTATAGTCGATTGTGTTTGATTTGTCCGGTGCGAAGGCGTAAATTGGCGGAAGGCTTTTTGCAGCCAGGAAAGACGATGGATTGGCATTCTTGGACACTTGCCATCCAGATGCCACGGCAACGTTTGCGCAATAATCGCCGGGAACTGCCATGGCGTGAGCATTGGGTTTAGTGTACACCAGTCGAAGGATGCCGTGAGCACTTCCGTAAATCAAGGCTACGACTCCGTGTGGGTTGTCAATCCATCCAGACATCGGCTCCTTAAAGTTGGCCATAACTGCAATAAAAAATAATTTGTTTTAAAAAAATTTACCTTCACTCCACCCGGGAGCATAGGTCCTCTGGGGTTGCCACCTGGCGCCATAGGAGTGACGAAAGTTCTGTTATTGTGTCCATGGTAAATTTGTTACTATTGTTAAGTGAGCGATAGAGCCTGGGATTCAAACCCGGGCCTTCCGGATCGGAGACCAGCGCTCTACCTGCTGGTCCACCGACCTAGTGACCTAATTTTAATGGTCCAATAAGGCAATTATTAATATTAAAAATATTTTTTTCAAGGCTTGAAGAAAATATAGCATAATTCTTGATTTACATGCATGACTGAGTTGAAAATGAGTAGAATGTTTTCATTATCAACAGTCATTCAAATACAATAAAGGTATTCATCGATTTACATAAATTTGCACACACAAAACTAATTCTAGTTCTAAATCACTTACTAATGGCAGGTCGGAAAATGCAGATCGGAAGGTCCTGACCCTCCATTTGAATCAACTGTTCGGCAAGGGCCTTCGTGTAGACGTAGGTGTTCGGGAACTTTCCTATCAGAGCTGGAGCCATGCTGTTCAATAACTCAGGGCTCAAAGTCTCGTTGAACTCAAGCACCTTGGCTGCCGGACACGTCAGGTTTTCCGGATAGAAACGCTCCTGGATATGATTTGTGATGCAGTTGGAGTAGGCAGTAGAAACGTGTACGAAAGCCTTAAGGCCCTTCATCTCCTTGGCCAACTGAATCATGAGGCGCGTGCCGCGAGTGTTGATGTTCAGCGCATTGTGGAGCGGCTCCACAAATCGAATAGAGGCGGCACTGTGGATCACCACCTCGACCTCGGAGGTCAGTATTTTTCTATCCTCCTCGCTGAGGCCCAGATCCGGTGCGCTACAGTCTCCTGAAATAGGTGTCATCAGATTTAGGGCCTCCGGCTTGGCCTTTAAAAGGACATCAAAAACCTAAAAAAATATTGTTATATAATTTTACGAACTCATTTTTAGGATATTATTCTATATCCTTGTAATCCATAGATAGTTTTGTTGTTACTCACCCGTTCATTTTTCCATACTTCGAAGCGTGACTCCACATTTTCGTCTTTTTTTTTCCTAACCAAAAAATAGATACGCTTCACATCCGTGGAACGTAATAACTTTTCAATTATCACTAAAAATCGGAGTGGAAAAGATTGTTTTTTCAACTGAATAAATCCTTTTCGTGTAAGCTGGTATACCTTTGCCTAAAAATCCTGTGCCTCCGGTTACGAAAACGGTTTTGTCCTTATAAAATTGTTGAATATCCGACTGCATTTTGTACTGATCTGGGTTGCGCCTAAGAATCACCAAAAATGAGGAATGCTATCACTCTTTATAATAAAATGCTAATGCCCTTTAAGTGCTGTAATAAGTCGGCAATTATACAATTTACACATTGTATCAATCTACATTGTAATGGCGTGTGGCGTTGCGTTTAGTATTTGGTTGCAGCGATGAAAGCTTTGGCGGCGAAAGGTATATTAGGCGCGGAACCAATTGAAAACATTTGTCTGCAATGTTCGTGAAAACTAAAACTAAAGGTCTGAACTCATTTTCAATCCAATTTTTGCTATAAGGTAAGTAAAAACCAGATCTGCATTATTAATTTTATTACACCAACGATAACAAAAAAGATGTGAGCCTAAGTAAATACAATAAAACCAATGCGACTGCAAAAGAAACAGAGAACAACTCTACATGTTTTCAAATATCGTTCTTCGAATTAATATATAGGAAAATTGGAGTCTACGTTGTTTGTCCAGGCGTGCAATCCGCCAATTAGATCTCGGACGGAATGCATTGGGAATCGATTGCGCACGTGCTGAACGGCGATCTGGGAGTCATTTCCCCGTCGACAGAGCAGAACAATAGACAGATCCTTGTCCTCGAGCTGCTTGGCGAACCGCTCCAGGTAGCTATCGTCAAGAATCTCCGCCAGCGGCACATTTACAGCCTCGGGCAGCTTGCAAATCTCGAACTCGGCCGGGGGTCTCACATCGATCAATAGATGGGGCTTTGCTTGAAGCTCATCTCGGTAATCCTCCACGGTCAGGCGCTCGTCCGATGTCAGTAGTTGTAAGGGGTGATCCTTATCGGTGGCGTGCATTCCACAAAACATTTCATAGTCGATCAGCTCAGAAATCAGCGGTTGGGTGGAGCACACATGGCAATTGGGCCGCTTGTTGCGGATGCGAATGTTGCGAAATACGGTGGTAATGCCATCAAAGATTAGGAGGCGTCCTGCGAGTACATCGCCCAGTCCCACAATCACCTTGATGGCCTCTAGAGCCTGCATGGCTCCAATGGTTCCAGTGATAGCGCCCAGGACCCCGCCATCACCACAGTTAGTGACCGCCTCGGGAGGCGGAGGAACTGGGTAGATACACCTGTAGCAAGGTCCATTTCCATAACTATAAACGGTCAGTTGCCCATCCATTTTAAGGGCACTACCAGAGACGAGGGGTTTTCTCAACATCACGCAGGCATCGTTCAGTAGATAACGCGTGGGTACATTGTCACTGCAGTCAAGGACCACATCGTAGTTACGGATGATGTGCATTGCATTTTGGCTGTACAACAGCCTCGAATGGCAGCGAATCTCGCAGTGGGGATTCAGCTCCAACAGGGCAATCCTTGCCGATTCCGCCTTGGACAGGCCGTAACGATCCTCCGAGTGCAGGATCTGTCGGTGGAAGTTGCTACGCTCGACCTCATCGTAGTCTATAAGCCCCAAGCGACCGCATCCGGCTGCCGCTAGGTATTGGGCCGCCGGACAGCCTAATCCGCCGAGGCCCACAATCAACACCGAGCTGTTCTTTAGCTTCAGCTGTCCCTTGACACCGAATTCGGGCAGGATGAGCTGTCGACTGTACCGGGCAATGTCATCGTTGGTCAACTTAGTGTGAACTGCTCTTCCTGGTGCTCCTATAGCATTTTCCTCGGGATGATCCTCGGCTCTGGCGGCAGAAATCAAGGTTTCTAAATCCCGCAGACACTGCTCCTTCCTGTTGAGTGCTGCTCGCAGCTCAGATATCTCCCGCTTCAACTTCGTTCTCTCAGATTCTGCCTCGGATTCAATCATTGAATTTCTGGGGTTGGTCAAGCCGACGTGATTTTAATGAATGTTTTTAACTGAAATCAGCTGATAGAGGCAACAACTTACGCTCAAAACACAACTTCAATCGATATCAACTTTTAGCTACAAGCGAGTTACTTTTGTATCACGCTTTCGATAGTCCACATTAATATCGATAAATAGCCACGAACAGCTGTGCGGTCGTATATTTTTTTCGCCCTATTGCCGACTGTGTTTACAATTATCTAATCGTGAATTAAAATAAAGCTATGTCCTGGCTTGGAGGCGCTATTCAGAAGCTCGGAAGAGCTACACTTCTGGCGGTGGGCGGAAAGGCACTAGCTTCAGTGGCGTCCACTAGCTCCACTGTGCGACAGTTATCCCATGCTGAAAGGCGAGCACGCGGACCCACGGTGCGGCGCTATGGATATGAGGACAAGATCTACAAAAGCGGACTACTCCCCCATGTGGACAACGGACACAAACTTCCCATGCCCGTATATCGGCCAAAGAACGCTTGGTCCAAGAAACGCGCCTTATTTGGCCAAAACGACTACATCGACATTCTGGGTAACGATCGACTACACCCGGTAAAGGTCCTCTACTCCCTTCCCTCTTGGCTCCGCGGGGTCTCCGGCAATGAGTACCAAGTGCTGCTCCGCAAGCGCAGATTGCTCGAGAAGTCGAAGTATCCGATTGCAAGACCCACAAAGTGGCGGGACATGGAGAAACGCATTCTCTATCTGTACAAGTTCCTTAACCGCAAGACCAAAACGGGTTATTCACATCAGTAGATGCATTAAGATCAAATAAAATGTTTTGTTTAATTTGATATTGTTTGGAGTTCACTTAACTAAGTCTTAAGAGTAAGCCTGGATGCATCTGTACAAAGTTCATGGATTCTATCGCTCGTTGATCTGATACTGTTTAAGCCTACTTTAGGACTATCCTCGCCTCCTCACCATCGATCAAAATCTTTTGGCCATTGAACAGGCAAAACTCGCGTTTGACGTACGCAAACAGCAGGTCGGTAATGAGGAATATTTGACCGGTGGAAAACGCCAGTGTGGCTCCGAAATAAAAGTTTGCATTGGCAGATCCTGCATAGATCCACAGATGCCAAAGGGCTCCCATCATGGACAGCGTCACCAGGAAGAATGTAAAAACCACAAAGCCGTGAGCCATAACTGCAATGTATTAAAATTATAAACTGGTGATTTTCGATTAAGCTAGGGAACTTACATTTCCAACATCTTTTCCACAGAGGAAGCAATGCCAAGTAAAAGCCCACATCCCCCAGGCTGGGATAGGCGCGAAAAACAGCCATCAGAGCCACTAGGACAGTGGCTAGAAGTAGAGGCTCCTTGCGCAGCTTAATAGTCAATGGCACCAGATATAATACTGTGGCATTCAATTGGAATGTGATTAGGAACATGGTGCGGAAGTGCTCAAACATTTCGGTGAAGAAATACCAGAACAAGCCAATATTTGGCTGCAGGTCTCGGAAATAAAATCTATAAAAACGTGTCAAGAAGTTTTCATTTACCATATTACCAAAAAGTTAAAAAAAATACTCACATGAATCCAAGCGTACCATCCAAGAAGTTCCAGCTTTTAAGCACAAAAAAGTTGGCGACCGCCACGCCCGCACAACATATCACGAAAAGCAGTGATATGAATACACCCCTCCGGATAGAATTCCGTGAAAAAACCAGTAGAAGTGGAGCTATCAGTACAATGGGATAAAAGCTGCGTACAGTCTCAAAAGCCAGAACCAAAAGGCTGGGCAGGAGTAGTCCATTCACGAGGCTATACAAAAAGAAAGCTAGGAACAGATTGCTTATCACGGTCGAGGTCATGCCGATGCAACTCATCACGGTCAGCGGATTGAAAAGATATGCCACGATTACCAGCTCCGGAATGTCTAGTTTGTCTATGGCGCTAAACTGAAGCTCCTCTGTATCCTTGGCATACTCATTTTTTTCTGCAGTTTGTTGCTCTCGTTTTTGCTTCACAAAACGCACACTCAACGCATAAAGCAGGGCGGCAGTGAGAACATCCAGGATTATGTAGAAAAGAGGCAAAAACTGCGGAAAATTTAAAAACAAGCCAGAAAAGGCGCTGAGGATTAGAGGAGACTCGTGAACCAAATCGCCTTTGTAGGGATCGATGCCGTTTTGGAGGAGGAATATCCCCTCTTGCACTAAAAGATTATTGTTGGGATCAGATACAAATGTATATGCAGAGCAAGTCATTTGTTTACTCACTGCGTTTATGTGAATTCAAAGGCGTAGCGAACTCCACTCTGTTGCCAATCATCGCAGCCAGCGGAGTGCGGCAGAAGTAGAAGCGCACAGCGCCGCCCAAAATAAGCATTTTAAAAAACTTCGAATCCATCTTTCTCAATTAAGCATAGTTTTTGGGGACTCCGCCTGAAAAAAGCCGCACACAGCTGTTCTTAGTGGTGCCAAAAATTTCGGTTTGATGCGGGTCGTGTGCCATTTCGTGTCACGATCGTCCGATTCTCGCCAGCTGAGTTGACAACTCAGCTATTTTTTCATTTTGCCTATCAAAAATTAAGTTTGAGCAAGTCAGCAATCAGAAAATTTATGTTGCTTTGAAGCTTTTCATTGAAGACTAGCCTGTACTAAAAGTTGATTTTGATAAAAACAAATTGTTAAAAAAGGCGTCGATATGTGAAATCTGCAGTTATTGTTTCAAAAATGGGTACATCTCTAGCTGCTGCTAGTGCGATCTCTAACCGTCTTGTTTTGGCCGCACTTGCTTCGTTGAATCGCCCAAAGTCTTATTTTTAAATAATTTAACAAGCAAAACAGCAATAAACATGATTGGCAGCAAAAAAACTAAGAAGGCGAATGTCTTTAAGGAAATCGCAGATAACTTTGAGCAACTGACCAAGAATCCAGAGCGTTTTCTCAAGTTTGTTTTTCTCCCAGGGACCGCGCACGTGTTTTTCCAAACGAATACTAAACAACTTTTGTTTTAGACCGCAGCCTGATCAATTGGAGGCCATCGAAAAGCTTATTCAGCAGACGTACGCCGTTAGCATCAGCGGAGATGTGGCCAACAAGAAAGCATTGCTTCCGGAATTGGTGCTGGAGCAAATGGACGATGAGCAGATTTGGCAGCAACTTGAAATGCGTAACGAGCTGGTATTCCAGCAACTAGTGGAACAAACTGCTCAACTGACGGCGATGAGGGAACAACACCTAGGAATCGAATTGGACGAGGGTGAGGAGCAGGAGGAGGAGGAGGATGTGAATCAGGAGGAGGAGGAGGATGAGGATCAGGATAATGCAGAGTCAGATGAAGATGAAGAAAAAGAGGAATCAGATTTAAGCGAAGAGGATGGGGGTTCAAAAAAACAGAAAGTCACATCTCAAAAGGAAAAAAAGAACAAGCGAGGACGCAACTCTATAGTGGACGACACGTTTTTCAAACTGGACGAGATGAACGAGTTTTTGGAGCAGGAGGACGCCAAGGAAATGCGACGGCTTAACAGCAAACGTGATGTTGAGCAGACGGATGCTATTGATCACTATGCGGAGGATTTCGGTCTGGGAGAAGAAGATGATGATGGCAATGTCAACTATGCGGATTTCTTTGATATGGACGACGAACTGGAACAGCATGCTAAACAGATAGGCAACGGCAAGCAGAAAGACTTTTTCAATGAAAACGAAAGTGAGAATGAGCAGGAAGAGGATGAAAATTCAGAGGAGGGCGAATCTGACCAGGAAGAAGGAGAAGACGAAGGGGAGGCGAAAGGTGATGAAGAGGATGCAGCAAGCGAAATAGATGAATCGGAATTTGTGGCAAAAAGTGGCATAGAACCCGCCAGCGATTCAGAATCTGATTCAGAAAAACAAGAAGAGGATGAACCGCAACTTGCAGAGCCGCCCTCGCAATCATCCAATGAGATGAGAGAGGCCCGATTGTTCCAACGCATCCGCGACTATGAAGACGTTGTCCTGGGCGAGAAGCCTTGGCAACTAAAAGGCGAAGTTAAAGCGGCAAATCGTCCCCAGAACTCTTTGCTTGAGGAGATTCTAGACTTCGACTCCACAACCAGACCGACAGCACCCATTACGGAAGAGGACAATCGGTCGATTGAAGACATCATCAAGCAGCGCATTCGTGATAAAGCCTGGGACGATGTGGTGCGTACAGTGCGCCCAGTAAACACTCCGCAGGAGTACCGAAAGCAGCTAGTTCTGGACCAGGAAAAGTCAAAGCAATCCTTGTCGCAGATTTACGAAGCGCAATACCAGCGCGAGATGGAAAAACTCGACCCAAATCGCGATGCCGATGAAAAATCTGGTCCGGAGCCCAAGGAACACCAAGAAATAAAGCGGGCAATGCGTTCGCTGTTCCTTAAACTGGACGCTTTGTCCAACTTCCACTTCACCCCCAAGCCAGTGGCACCAGAGATCAAGATTGTGACTAACACGCCGGCAGTTCACATGGAAGAGGTAGCTCCATTGGCGGTTAGCGATGCCAAGCTACTAGCGCCCGAGGAAGTGTTCCGCGGACCCAAACATGCTCCTCTTGGCAAGACGGAACGTGATCGGACGGACAAGAACCGCGAGCGCCGTAAGAAGAAGCAAAAGCAGAGGGCCATTAATTCAGCTTTGGAGCAGCGCGACCTTCAGCGTGCTAAGGAGGGCAAGGCTCCAACGAAGAAGGAGTCTGACGCTAAGTTGCTCAAGTCTATTACCAAGAACCGCAACGTTCAGAAGGTAATTACCTACATATTGTCAAAAAAAGAAAGTTTACCAAACCTAAAATTTTTATTGCAGATCAATGCAAACAGCAACGATCACGGTGCTCTAAAGTCATCCAAGTCGTTCTTCAGCAAGCTGCAGGACACTACGGCGGCCACAGCCTCCAACAAGCGACCGAAAAAGGACCCTGCCAAGGCAAATGCCAAGAGGCTTAAGCTTTAATGTTCATTTTAAGACTCCTCAATCTGGTAATTGTCCTTATCCAACCAAGTTTTTTCGCCTCCAGTCACGTGCCAAAAATGTTAGCAAGCACACAGACATGTCCACAATGAATTCCTGGTTGTAGGAATAACTTTAGCAGTCCTCAATTTGAGGCACCATGGGAGATGCCATGCGCCGGTACTTTTAATGTCCTCTGTGCGAGTGTCCTGCGTATGCGTATGTGATGTGGAAACGACTTGTGTGTGACTGTGTGGGAGTCAAGGACATTTGGTGGAATGGTGAGCCGATTAGGCACGCGTGTAGTGTGCAGGAATATGACTATTTTTAGAAAAATTTACTTAAAATAAACTGTTTGCTATGTAAATAGAAACCTAATTAAAGAAAGCTAGAACCACATCAGTAACCACATTAGCCCTTTTTGAAACAGACCGGCTTAAAGCATACAATTGCTTTTAATTTTTGTTATCTGCAGGTGTCTTTGTTTTCATCGGCTTAACAAGGAAATTGATATATGTATAAAAAAGAATAATGTGACTGAAAGGAGATCTAAATATGTATATTAATTATTAAAGATATATATTTATCTGCTGATTTTAAACCGAAAATTTTTAAAGAGATGTTAGTATTGACAGTATTGCTTTATTATTAAGTTATTATTATATTTTCACATTTTTTAACAATTTTTAAATTCAAATTTTAAATAAAAAACAGTTCATTGCCATTTCTGGATTGGGTCCTGACTATATAGTAAGCAGGCCAAAACTCAGGCTTAGTGAGTGCACCAACCACAATTACCATTGTTGTGGATGTTTAGCGGGAAAACATGGTTGATCGAAATACTATCGTAAGTCTGCCACCTCTATAGACCAGCACGTGTAGTTGTGATTTTCAAATATAGTTTTGCTCGACATTAAACGTCTCAGTCGCATTAAAAATAATGGTTAAGGTACAAAAACCGCAGCCCAAGTCGCTGAACAAGAGCACCAGCATCGAGGGCGTGGCCAAGAAGAAAGGCAAGCCTGAAAAGACGAAGAAACTGCCCGTGGAAGCCGCTTTGGAGTTGGCCAGCAGCAAAAAGATAAAAAACGCGCCTTTGCAAAAAAGTGATGGCGGTAAGAAAGAGCAAAAGGTGTCCAAAAAGGACGCCGAGAAGAAGCAGGCAAAGGCGGTAAAAAGACCTCTGATTCTGGCGCCTCCAGAGTCGCCTGCTGCTCCTGCAGCAGTGAAGAAATCCAAGGTAAAGCCGGCTGTTTCTGCAGCTCCTGCAACCAAAAACACAGCAGCCAAGAAGCCATTGATCTTGGCTCCTCCAGAGTCGCCGGTGGTTCCGAAGAAAAATGAGAAGAAGGGCAAGGCTGCCAAAGAGCCAGCAAAAAAGGCTGTTCAGGATGCAGTACCTGCCAAGAAGTCGGCGCAGGCTGCTGCTACATCCAAAAAGACAGCCCAGGTTGCTGCTCCAGCCAAAAAATCGGAGCAAAAGTTAAAGGCGGCTCCTCCAACTAAGAAGTCGGCAGCTGCTCCAGCAGCCAAGAAATCCGAAAAACAGGCTGCTGAATCACCCAAGAAGTCCCAAAAACTCGACAAGGAAGCGCCCGAAGCAAAACCGGCCAAGGCTCAACCCGCTGTCCAGCTTCAAAAGAAGGCCAAGTCAGCGCAGAAGCTCTCCAAGCCCATCAACGCCCCCAAATCCAAGAAACCGATAAACAAGAAACCTAAACCCGGCCAGGCCAAAGGCAATGCCGTCAAAAACACCCCTGTTAAGACCAAGAAGCCCGTTGAACTGACCTTTGAATTGAAGTCCTTTGACGAGCAGCGATACAAGGAAATTGTAAGCGAGAATAATGTTACGAAGGTCTGCAAGGCTTTGAAGACCATCGTATCCGAGGAGGTGGCCAAGAAGAAGTCCACCTCGATTTTCACCGACTACCGATACGTTTTGCAAGTGAGCAGCTACAAGATCCCCAGTTGTCCCAAACGCATGGTCAAGCTGAATCTGAAGCATTCGCTAGTGGGCAGCGACGACGACGTGGCCCTCATTGTGCCCGATTTGCAGCGTGGTGCCAAGTTCGACTCTGAACCAACCAAGCAACACTACGAGGATTTATTGCGAGAGGCCGGCGTAAAGCAGCGCTTGACTATCATCCCGTTCAACCAGCTACGCAACGAGATGGGCTCCTTCGAGGCCAAACGGAAGTTCCTCAACAGTTACGACTACCTGCTGTGCGACGGTCGTCTCTCGGGCCAGGCCACCGCCTTTTTGGGCAAGGTAAGATTTCTGCCTGTTTTGTCTGCTAATGAGTGCATTCTGGGAAGAAAATAACCACCTTTTGTCAAAAAATAATCCTTGTAGAAAATGCAAATACCTATGAGTACCGCATGTATACTAAAAATTTAAAAAAAAAATAATTTTACGTACCTGGGATTTCCAGTCTAAATCTGGGTATAAGACATCAACAAAAGTAGGTTTTTGAAAAGCGATTCTCTTTTGTTTAAAGTAAATGCTGACGTTTTTACAAATTAAGGAAGATATTTCTAACCATATATACATTTTCGTTCATTTCCAGAACACCCAAAAGCCGCGCAATGTTCTGCATGCCGTGCGGCTTAGTAAGGAAAATGCAAAGTGGTCGGAAGAGGTGACCCGCGCTCTGAGCCGCACAGCATTCAGACAGTTGGCCAAGGGCGATCTGACATCCATCCCGGTGGGAAACCATGAACACAGCGCCGAGCAGCTGGCCGAGAACATCCTGGAGGTGAGCAAGCAGCTGCAGCAAGTCTATCCCGGCGGTCTGGCCAACATTCGGGGAATGTACCTCAAGATCGACATCACGGGCACCACTTCGCTGCCACTGTACGTCAGCTTGTGCGCACCACCGGCAGATACGCCATACGTGGTGGGCCCTCGCGAGCAGCGCATGCTCAAGCTGAAGAAGCAGGCCAACGAGGTGCTCTCCAAGTTCGCCCTTACCAAGGATGCTGAGTTCGTAAAGCTGTCTTGGGATCAGGTCAAGCGCAAGGCCGAGCTGCGCGAAGAAAAGGCAGCTTTGTTGGCCGCCGATGCGGCTCCCAAGGATAACGACGGCGAGGACACCGCGGTGCCCACAAAGAAGGCGCGCAAGGATTCGAGCAGCGAGGGCGCCAAGGCCGAGGCAGAATCCGATGAGGAGGAGGATGTGGAGGAGGCGGAGGACAGTGCCGAGGAGAGCGGCGGGGATGGCGAAGATTCGGATGATGATGATGATGAGGACGTTGACGAAGAAAATGAGGATGATGACGACGACGACGAGGAGGACGATGATGAGGATGAAGATGATGATGAAGACGATGAGTAATCCTGCTTGCCAGCTCAATTGCTCTTCATTAGATCTAGTTTTATTTCTATATACGCAAACTAATCATGCTATAATTCCGTTTGCAATTTGTACATCAGTTTTAAGTAATAAACGACTTTTAAGTATGGAAATATTAATTTTTGCCGTCAAGTTTATTTTCTTTAATAATTTTAAAGTACTGTTCTTTTTTTCTTCAGGTGTGTGAACCATACGGTAAAAACTTAATTATTATGCACACTCTGTAAAAATTGCTTACACAAAAGAGTTTATCGAATTCAATCGCAATGCAGTAATATTAGATTTGCATTTCAATCATTAAAACAATAAAAGATTTAAAAATCGTTTATTGTTCAATAGGTCGCAAGTGATTTCCATGAATATTCATACGTAACGTAATGCCATATCTGCATGTCCTGAAATCATGCATGAGCCTCATGGTCGGCGATTCTGAATGCCTTTTCCAGATTGCTTCGATGTTTGTTCGCGGAAAATGGCTGAGATTCCTCCCGACGAATTGCAGCTCAAAGTGGATGCCAACAACCCTTCGTGGCATCCATCCTTTGAGGTCATAAAAACCAAATATGCATTATGCCAACGGACTTCGCCCAGCGGGAAGCTGCAACGTGTACACAACAAAGTCGATTTTCATAAGAACTGATTTATATGCATGCGTATTTTTCTATATGGTTAATAAAAGTACCTCGATTTCGAACCGTCCAGTGGGAGTACAGCAAAATGCAATTTCTTTGATGTCTCTGACGAATTATTTATGAGTGGAATGGGTTCTAGGGGTTGACCGAAAGTGGCCATTCGCTTGCATAATTCCTCATAATTAGCCTTATGGATTGCTCTTGGCTCTTAGCTACTTCGACAGTTGTTCGTCCAAGTCCACAGCTGTCTTGTTTAATTCCATTTGAGATCCATTGAGCTTTTTTATGTGGGCAAGGTCGCGGCTCTGGAGATTAGAATCACGTTCGTTCAAACCGCCAAATAAATACAGCAAGAACCCAAATCCAAGCCGGACACGTCGTCGGCAGCAACAAAAACATTGTAAAGCTTTTATCAGTCCAAATTATCATTAGCCGCGTTTTCTGTGGGTTCCATAAAACCCACATATATGTACGAATAGACATGTATGTATGTGACTACGCGGATATGGCCAGGATTCCCTACATACTCATTTGGCCTTTCCCCATTTCCGTTGGCCCTTCCATTATTCAAAATGATTCGGCTTTCTAGGGGCTTCACAAATGTGGGCCAATTCAATACTCGATATGAAAATCATTGGTTTTAATAGTAGTAAATCTGATATAGAACACAATTTTTTTACATATTTAACTTAAATAATACTTTTTATATCAAAATAGCCTATTCTTGCTGAATCACAATCTCTACTTTTATTTCCAAGTTGGTTTTTCCAACATTTATTCACTAACTTTATATAAAGACAAATAAAGAGGAATAAAATATTGATTTATGTATTGATATAATTTCATCACTTATTCTAGGTAAAGCCCTATGATACCATTTCTTATCAAATTATTTTTCACGATATGTGACTTTTATAGACGACTAATTGTGAGTGTGCGAAAATAACCAAATAATTTTTGATGGTAATCTCTGTGATTAGTCAGAACGGTTCGGTAGATAAGTGATGCAATGCCAATTATGAGATAATGCCTATAGAATTATTAATAATCTGGTAGATATATTTGGGGGATTTATATTGGATTTAATGGCTGACAGCAGTGGGTTCAGAGCCACTAATTGATAATAATCAGATGCTGATTAGGTCGATGCTGATAGTATGATCGATGGAAAATGGCCCGATAAATGTCCCGATAATTGTGCGTAATAGATGATTAATAAAATTGATACCAAACGTAACCATCAAACTGGTTGCCCCTTTGCCACGTGTTGCGTATACGACTGTTGGCCAGCTCCCGCCGACTCCCCATGACTGCGCAAAATCCCAGCTGAAATTGGCCAGCACCAACCATGATATTGTGGGCGGCAGAGTTCGGGACACCGAGCTTCGGAAATTCCACTCGGGCTCAACCTGAACGCGTTGAAATCTTTCGTATCCTCGCCTCGTATAAATCGCGGTCTCCTTGGCTGCCGATTTCACTTGCGTTTCAGTCTCAAAGCGGTGCAGTCAGCAGTAATAACGGTTAATATTGAACCCGATTCTAAAAGTTTTCAAAATTGTAAAAACCGTTTTTTAACGTTTTTGAACTTTGTTCTTGTGTTTTGCAGTGACTCAATCTGAAATATTCGGATTCTGTTCAAAAATAAATTTCAAGTGTTGTGTGCATTTTTGAAAAAAGGTGAGTGAATTACCATATTTTTATTAAACATTGCTTTCAAGGAATTAAAGTACATTTACATTTAATTTGACAAAACTGTATTAACAACTTGTTACATTTCTATTAGAAACGCTAAGAAAATTTAGTTTTTTTGAGCTTCCATTAAATTTATTTACTTCGTTCTAATTTTGGTGCAAAGTGGTAAATTCTTAACAGATCTTTTATTTTTTTAATCTGTATATAGCCAGCAAAATGAAAATTTTAATTTGCAACAACACATTTTTAAGTATGTATGGTTTTTAGTCTATAAAATATGTTTCCCAAAAACCAAAGTATTTAAATCTTTCACTGAAAAAAGATAAGGAAATTTCTTTATTTTGTATTCAAGCCGTACGGATTTAATATAAAATTATATGTACTTTTTTTGTTTTAATATTTGCGTTTGAGGTGTTTGAGCTTTCAGTTTTTCCGACGGATAAATAAATTTGAGAAAGAAAAGGAAAAGGAATCTTTTCCAAAGTGGATTCTAAAAGCGTACTCATTTAATAAATAAAGACGTTAAAATTAAATATCCCATTAAAAACTTAAGTTCTTATCCAACTTGAAATCAGTGACTTGTGGCAAATCCTTGTATTAACTCGTGTAAAACATTTCGTGCATTCTTCCACTTAATTATGTTTTTATAGCTCAAAATTTCATATGTTTATAATTCAGTAAATGCCCTGGTCTTTTGGAAATTGCTTCTTAGCTGGCCTAAGCCATAAAGTCAACATGTAACCCAAGACCACTACGGCGGTCCTTCGATGATGTGTGTTGAGCCCAGGACATGTGTTCCCCTTTGTCCTAGCTGGCAGGACTCGCTTCCACTGGCTTTGGCCTAGGCGACCTTTTTCGCCTTGTATCAGGGAAAATCTTTATTTTATGCTGCAAAATTGAAGTTGGCCCCTTGGCTTTATTACCTCTTGGCCTGGGCCAAGTAAGTCCTTTGGATTATCGCAATCATTTTAAGCTTAACTTTGCTCCCACATTAGAGCGCCCTTATAGTTTTATGATTTGACGGAAAACCTTACTTGCTTTAAGCTGTTTCTAACTTAACTTAACTTAAATTGCGAAACTTCAGTGCAACTCTCTGATCTTAAAGTTTGGCAGTCGAAATGAGTTTTCCTGTATAATTAACAGCAGTTGGCTCTTGGCTTTCCAAGAAGTTGCTCATTTGCTCAGTGGTTCGAGTGACTTGATGCCCGCCAAAAATTTAAAGAAAATTCAATTGAGTTCTGAGTTAAACATAACATTACTTTTACTTTTTAACGAATGAGCAGTAAGGAATTTTTTATGTTTTTATTTGGTTGAACACCAGGTAGATAAAACCACAATAATTGAAAAATGATGAAATTAAAAATGAATTTAAGTGGCGTGCATCGGAAAATCCGCTTAGCTGCGGCAGAAGAAAACGTGAGATGGTTTTGCACAGTGTCCCAGGCTAAATACTTCTAATCCTTTCACTTTTTTACATGCATTTTATGTCAATGTTTTAATTGAAAATTCAGTCAGTCAGATTAACTGTGATTGCGATATTACAATTTTTTTTTAGATTTTCTATTTCGTTTATTTTAACCGGAATTGGTTCATTTAATTACTTTTATTTGAGGTCATCAAGCTTCAACATAAATCTTGCCAATATTTATTGTAATAAATGGGTAAATTAATAATTGAAACTGAAAACATCCCCAAACAAATTTTGAATATTCAGAGTGCTATTATTTCTCTTCATGTCTTAGTTAAATGATTTTATTTTTATTAGTAAACACAATTACAGTAGATGATTAAAAAGAGTGCAATACATATAACCATATCTTTATTGCGTCTACCAACTGTTTTTCTGCACAAGACTTCCTTTTCACTGTTTTTCCGTCTTCATTGACCTTTTGGATCATTTTATGTTGCCTACTTTCTTGCGCAAAGTGTCTGGGAAATTCAATTCTGCCGCTCAGGTGCTTTGAATGAAATGGAAGGCGTTGAAAACTACTTATTTTCATGCCATGCCCTCCGGTTGTTTATGAAATGCCTTCGACTGTGACGATTTGAGGACGATTCTTGTTTTCTTTAAATTTACAAAATGGAATAATACGCAACCGTAAGAGGGCGGATGATTTGGGTCTTGGGATTTTTTCCTCTTACTTGCTCATTTTCTTTTATCCTCGGGTCTGAAAAATATACTTAGATGCGAAAACTTTTCATACTAAATTAATTCATGCAAGAATAAAGGAGTTTACCTCGACTGGACAGCAATTAAAAAATGCTTTAGCGAAGGGCTTTAAAAATTCACTTGAGCATGGCGCAAAATGGGCTTAAACCTCGAATAAACATAGACGAAGCTTATATAACTTTTGGGCTAAAGTGTTTCTTAACAAGCTGCGGAGCGGGAAGCGCTTCTCGGACTGCTGTTTCTAATTAAATTTGCATATTTTTATTAATTAAATTGTTTAGCCAGTGTTTACTGGGAGCTCCCGAACTTTGGCCCGCCTCACATGTGCATGCTAATCACCGAAGGGCAGGGGAATCCCCATCAAAAATTAACACGCCCCATGGCAATGACAAAGCAAACAAACTGGGGACAAGTGCAGATGAAATTTGGATGCTTGCCACGCTCGCCAATTGAACGAGTCCTGTTTATCTGTTTATTCTCTGATGAACTGAAGGAAGCTTACACTCTGGTTATTTGCAGGCTCATTTCCCCATTTATTGCGTTCTTATTATGAGAAACATAACGTTCATAATTTTTCGGTTTTATATTTCCCCAAAAGGGACTCTGTATGAATTTAATTGGGCACGATTCTCTGAACAGAAATGTTTACGCTTCTAATTAGGCGAGTTTATAAATTCGCCAACGCTTAAAATACCAGCGCTGTTTTAACTGCTATAAACTTCACTAAGAATTTAAAGTGCAGAATTTATTCACATAGCTTGAGCTTAAGCCCAATTCAAGTGCCACAATTTCGTTTTAAGTGTGTTTTATATTTCCGAAAAAATATTGAACTTTTACAACAGGTAATTTCTCACCCCATTTGATACATCCCCTCTTCTTGCCCCTTCATAGGTGATAAATTTGGTCATGTTAAAATGTTAACCTCTTAACATATAAATTTTCACTCTCCTTTTCCATTTGCATCCTCATAAACTTGAATGCCCCGCCCCCTGCGCTTTGATGGCATTTCCCCCATGCTGCTGCCAAATATTTATTCACATTTAAAAAGTATTTTATGTTGCATTTTCCTATAAGCATTCTCCGGACTCTGGGCTCCTGCTGCCACGTGAGTCCAAATACCATTCCTCGGTGATAAGACATGCATTCAAAGCCCCCGAAGGCCCCACATCCGTCTGCTTGTGTGTTGGATTTTATGGGAGCTCCTTTCCCCGGCAGTGTTTGCTTTCCCCCTCCTCGAACTCCCAGAAGCTTCCGTTCGTTTTCGCTGAATTGTTTGTATGACAAAGTTAGCATTTTGTAATAAATTCGCTTTAAAAAATATTTGAACGTTTATGTTCGGCATTTAAATTAAATACTCCTCGCCAGCTCAGCCGGTTGGTAAGCAAAAGTAAAGCCCAATTTTAAACGAGGTCCAAAGAAATGTCTTTTTGCAAGTACAAGTATTTAAGAATTTAGGGTGGGAAGGTAAAAAGTTCATTATGCTAATGGTTTTCGTTACGGCAGGCTTGAAAAAAATATGTTTTTAATAAGAAGTAACAGAAATTTATTACTTTAATAAAAACAAAGCCAAAACACCTTTATGTTGAAGCCTTCAACTGCAAAAGCCTAAGCAATTCTTCCTGCACTTCCTTGCTTGCTTTTCCGGCTCAATGAGCCTTTTCAAAGGACCAAGATGTGTGGGATTAAAAGTTAAAGATCTCCAAATTGGCAGAGCTGTACGTTTCGTAGGCAATTAAAGACACTTGAGCTGCGGGAAAACGACTGTGGTAAATATTACAATATGTAGCGGACGAACTCAAAGTAAAGCTTTGTGTTATCGAGGAGAAACATTTACATTTTGCAACTGGCAAACAGCGAACAGAAATTCAATGCAAAATAAGAGCAATCGAGTGGGGTTAAGAGGTGGCTGTGGCAGTTTCTCTGTTTGCGTTGAGCAAAAGTTGTGGCAACAATGCTCATAAAACATAAACAAACAAACAAACGTCATTGCGACTGGTAGTTTATCAGCCAGCAAATAGAAATGGGTGGCTGTGGGTTGCATAATACGTGGGGTTCTCCGGGGGGCTTGTGAAGGGGGCTTTTAAGGGGCGGTTTACCGACCGACCTGACAATGCAATCAAGCGAAAGTGACAGAGCAGCAGGAACAACGCCGCTGACATCGATATGTCGACAACTGGTGCACATGGTGACGGCACCGGGGATTTGAATTTTGCGAATGGCCCCACAATACACTCTCTGTTCGACAAAATGGCTCTGGCAAAGTATTTAGCCAAAGTTCGGCAGAAGTTTCCCGTTTTGCACACACAATTTCGCATTTTTTTGTGCGATTCCCTTTGGCATAGTTGGTGGTCTTCGTTTCATTTGAATATTTTGCCACTCTTGTGACGCACTTGGCTCGTGGCTCTTTTCCCTTCATCATAAGAGTTACGTGGCCCTCATGTGCTGGAACTTTTCAAAGTGCGAAAAGTATTTCAAAAGTTCCCTTTTTTTCTGAGTTCATCTCGTTTGAGGGATTTTCGCCTTTGCACCCTTCTGTTCTTGCAATAAAATCGCACAATCTTTTGCATTTACAGCCCTGAAAAGTAGGCAATATATTTTTTATTTACCAAGCATGTGTTTATTATGGTTTAAAAAAAATAATATATTTTGGTAGAAACAAAGATAGAGGACATCAAAAAATTATTAGCCAAAAAATCAAACATGTGCAACATTTTAACTTATTACAAAATGCTTTTTGATTTTTCATTGTTTGTTTTAACATTTAGTAAAGTCAATAATGGTTTTACATAAAATATTCATAACAAATTAAGCTGTA